TGGCAACAGGCAACCTACGGCCCTATCAAAGAGTTGCTGCAAGGGTTTTTAAGGTGCGAAGAGCGCGATAATTTCTCTAAAAGAGGCATCCAATTTATTGTCCCAATTCTGACCAGTCTTGGCTGCGAATTTATACATCCCACACAGCCAAAAAGACGCTCCACTTTTGCAAGTGTTTTACTGCTGGTAAAGAAGATCACAAGTGACAATATTTCTTAACCCCACTGACCCTTAGAGTAAATTTGTTTTTGTACATTTACTTCAGTACCAGTTAACCGGTTAATCGATCGATTATTTAAATAGCATCCAGCAAAAGTTTTCTCTGACATTGATTAATGAGGGTCTGGATGGGGTTTACTAAAAAGAGAGTAATAGGCAAAAAGTGCAGCATAAAGGCAAGAAAAAAAAAGAATAGAAACAAATAGGCAAAACAATAGATGTTAGTGAATAATAGAGGTAATGAAGAATAGAGAAAAATGGATTAAAGAAAAGAAAGACCTTCATCCAGACCTTCAATAATCCTTTTGTTCGTTTCTATTATCGCCAAAGATTACTTTTTCTTTTTAACTACTTTGACAGTTTTCTACTCAGGATCTCAGGATCTTGCTAAGTTCTGATAGTCACAATAAACATATCTGAATTTTTGGAAAATATATCGGTCATTTTACATGAATATGTTTTAAAAGCAAGGCTTTTGTAGAATATGAATTTATATGAAAACAATTCTGGAATCTAACCTATACATTATTTGTCAACATTTTGCTATTTTTCTTTTCCGTTTATCACTTTTTTTTTGTGGAAATTGGCATTATCTGGACGCTGCTAATTCGAACATTAAAAAAGATGCCAGTAACTGTATTCTCATAATAGAAAATTCTTTACCAAGAAAGATTTATAAATATGGCATATGGAATAAAGCAAGTTGATTTTGTATATTTTAAAAATATAGCTCTTTGACCTATATTACGTGAAAAAAGCGCAAAATCATTATTTCGTAGTGATACTTATGAGACTAATTTATCTTTCTAATAAAACATGCGACGATCATAAGTATTTTAAATTTCTAATCTGAACCTTGCATGCTAAGTAAGTGGACGCTTACTAATTTTAAAAACAGTGTGTTTCAATACCATTGTTGAAAAAATCGCATATAAAGACGTAAACCGTTCTTGACATAAATACTCTTGTCATTTGTAACTTTAGATAGACATAATTGATAATTCGGAACTCATAGTGGATGATGCAGAATTAGTGAACCGCCTCGGTGGTCTCGTGATAGCATGTTCGCCTCGAGTGTGAGGGGTTCTTAAATTCAAAACCCGACCGGGTCACACCAAAGGCTTGAACATTGATATTTGCTGCCTCTCCTCTAAGCACGCGGCATCTAGGAGAAAGAACAAAGACTGGTCGGCTCGGAGTCAAAATAACATATCCGGGTAGGATGACATGTCTACCTGCGGACTGTTATCTTATGAACTAGCACGTTAAAAATCAGGATTAACGGGTTTATATTTATATCATATTATCATATTCTCGTCTTCAATATGCATTTAATTCCCTACTGGACGTTAACAGCCATCCATCCGGGCATCACAATAAGCGTATTTCGTTAGATACATATCTTATTATCGTAAAACGTTCTTGACATAAAGATTTTCGTCATTTGTAACTTTAAATACACATTGATAATTCGGAACTCATAGTTGATGATGCAGAATTAATGAACCGTCTCGGTGGTCTCGTGGTAGCATGTTCGCCTTCAGTGTAAGGGGTTCTTGAATTCAAAACCCAACCGGGTCACACCAAAGGCTTGAACATTGATATTTGCTGCTTCTCCTCTAAGCACGCGGCATTTTGATGTAAGAGCAAAGACTGGTCTGCTCGGAGTCAAAATAACATATCCGGGTAGGACGACATGTCTACCTGCGGACTGTTATCTTATGAACTAGCACGTTAAAAATCAGGATTGGCGTGTTTATATAAGATTGAGAATTGAAATGGGGAATGTGTCAAAGAGACAACAACCCGACCATACAGCAGACAACAGCCGAAGGCCACCAATGGGTCTTCAATGCAGCGAGAAACTCCCGCACCCGGAGGCGTCCTTCAGCGGGCCCCAAAACAAATATGTATACTAGTTCAGTGATAATGGACGTCATACTAAACTCCAAATTATATGTATATCATATTATCATATTTTCGTCTTCAACATGCATTTAATTCCCCACTGGACGTTAAACAGCCATCTATCCGGCCATCAAAATCAGCGAATTTCGTTGGATACATATTTTATTATCGTCGTCCAATCAAAACCAAACAGATATTCATGAATCTGTAAGAGTTATATCCCCTTGTCTATATTGTAACGGCATGAACATGACAATTAAAAAAAATTTTGTTACCTGGAAAAAGCTTTCATGTTTTGAAAAAAAATCTATTTCTTCAAACACGCATTGCGTTTTCAACCTAAATAAGTACTCTAAACAATTTTTGCTAAAATTTCAATGTCAATATGTATTAACCTTGTAAATACAATGTAGTACCATTCTATAATGCCATATCCTGTGACCTATTAAGGATAAAATATTGAAATATACGGAAATATAGTTGTTTGCTAAAAGATAAATTCGTTAGTCTATAAGGAAGTTATACAATAGTTTGAGTTTGATGTACATGTTAGAAATTACAGAGATGCAATGATGGAACATTTCCAATCGTCAATTTTAGGTTTGCTCATTAGTAAATGGTTTATATCGGACATTGTCAATTTCAATGTTTATTCATATTTATTCAAAATACATTATAAATAGTATTGCATTTTGTAAACGCCCTTAAAAAAGTTAAACAGCAAATATATGATTACATATTTATCTTGATTTTAAATATTAATATAATATTCGTTGTTAGAATCTAATTGATGTAATAATTTTATAGGACAATTGGAAAATGAATTGAATATAGTATCGCTGTTTTTGTCTCGCCTGCGAAATTACAATGCGCATTAGATTCTGAGTTTTCAATCAAATTACAATAACAAAATGTTTTCTTTTAAACATTACATCTACATTTTGATCCTTTAGATTTTTTAGATCCTACATTGAAAGTTGGTTCACCCCTAGTGGCTAGAACAGTTGCACGTGTTACCTGTCAGGTTTTGACAAACCTTAAAGACGTCAGTTTGCTCTGTGACAATGGTCATGAAGATAAAACTAGAACGCCAAACACATATATGTTAGTGTTAACTTTTAATGTAAAACCGTTTCACCAAAATACTAATTGCACGTGTACAATGTACTGGTAGGTTTAAAGAATTTTAAGTGTCATTGACTATACAATTGAATATAGATAGTAAGCATATTAAAATTATGATCCAAAGAACTAAACTCGAATTTGCTTTAATCTTTAAATGCCACTTTTATGTTTTTTCCACCTTTTTGCCTTTAGTAACTTGTTATTTTGTATCAAAAGAATAAAATCTTTTAATGTGGAGAGGTCATACTTTGCAAGTCTTTACATGTCTAAAAACGGACGATGTGATGTCCTTGCGTGATACTAAAAGTGTCTCTAGAAACCTTCTTCGTTAAAACATTACGTTTAAGTGTCCAGTCAATGGGATACCAAGAATCATACCGTAGCATATTCGTTCTGTTCTACTAAACTTATCTAACTATTACCTTCTTCCAAGATAAGTGGCATGAAAGACGGTACAATAAGAACAGCTGAACATTTTGGTTCACCTGGGAGGTATAGTATTACCCTCCCAGCTGAACTGAACCAGTTCCGGTTCCGGAACTTTTGAGCATGCGCAAACCGGTTCTAAGTTCAACCAAAATTATGAGTTAACTACTCACGTCAGTTTACGATATGAAATATCCATGGATACATTTATGATTAAATGTTGATTAGCAACTATATAATATCCATCTAATTAATCCCAAGTATTAATCCAATACACCTGACTGGTAAGGAGTAAAGAATTCCTGATTCTAAACATTGGAGAACTACAGCTTTCGTGATGCGACTATAACCATATAAGACCTTTTCCTGAATATTCTTTAGAATCACGAGCAATTTTGGTTCACCTGTGAGGTATAGTATTGTAATATGAACAACACTTTGCTATCTTAGATTGACATTAAAAAACAATTATAATTTCTACCATGGTCAATTTTCACCGGGTACTTTCCTCTTATTTGTGCTCGGATTAACTTTGAAACATGCGTTTTTGCACAATTGCCTTAATAGTCAGTTTTGGAAACGGTTTTTATAATGCATAGTTGTTTTGTAGATTTCTGATACAAGTGTAGCATGAAAGTGCAAGCTGAGTTTGCCCAAAATTTCAAAATGAGTAAATAGAAATTGAAGAGATGTTTTTGTCATTGTTTACTTGATTATTCACTTGCTCCGACAAAACAAATGTTTCAAACGAGAAAACTAATTAATGACAATTTAACAAATTAGCCACTGAAGGGCAATTGGAATTCAAGCATATGACTTGGTACAGGCTTGTTGAAGGCCGTACTTTGAACTATACTGGTTTACTTTTTTACTAATTGTGACTTAGATGGAGAGTTGTCCCATTTGCACTCATACCATACCTTCTTATATCTATTCTCAAGAATTTGAAGGGTATAATTTTGTATATACCTGTCCCAAGTCAGGAGCATGTAGTTCAGTGGTTGTCGTTGGTTAAGAGAAAGGCAACAGTAGTATACCGCTGTTCGTTGCATTTCCGTCAAAAAATTTGATTTCAGTGAATATCATGCGTGCATATAGGGGCATTGTCACTTCCTTCCAATGTTGAACAAAATGTTGAAAAAATATGATGCTGTATTGCACAAATTATTTGGCAAATTAAATTCTTATGATTGATAATAACATCTTCTGTCATTTGGGAACTGTGATTGAGTACTACATTACTACGGAACAAACAATATTTCTAGTTTATTCTGCATAATGACGATACAGAAGACTTTTGATGAATTTTAATAGTGATGCGATATATGTGGTCCCCGATATCTAGTAAATGCTGTCATAAAGGCGCGCATAATTGAAGAAATTTTCTGGTGAAGGACATAACTCTAATTTAGTCAATTGAGAAGATATAGTTTACCAGTAGACACAAACATGTCAACCATAACAATTCGTGTAATATTCGCCAATAATAAACCAAACGTCGTCTCACTTTCTTTTAAACATTACTTTAAACACGAATAATATAATATAAATCTACGATACACATTCCAGACAAAATTGCCTTACAATTATAAAGGATTAACTAAACTATAAATAAATGTCAATTTCTGCAAATCCATGGTATATTTTTGGTATTCTTTTTTTTAATTTTTATCGTTCGCCAGTACCTGAAAAATCCAAAAAAAAAGATAAAATGAAAAATAATATTAAACTGAAGATGAAAATAACAATTTTTTGTGCATCCGACGATTTTTTTGCAGTTATGTGTTAACACCTTAAATAGGCATATTTATCAAAATTATTTCCTCGTTTGTTTTACACACGAATTCCCACTTTACATATTTTCTCACAACCTTTTAATGAACACTTGCATGTGGGTCGTATCTATACTATTTATTTCGTAAAAGTTTGTTTTGATAAATGGTTGATTCTTTCATGGAAGCAAATTTACACGTCTTATCTTATTTTAAAGGTACGCCCTCATGGTAATGATGACTGACATGTATTTTTCAAGTTGTTTAAGACCTAACAAAATGCAAATAGTCAACTAATTCATATTGCACAGATAACAATAGTTCCTAGGGTTTTCATGTCTTGTATCTTTTTTTCAGATCATATGGATTCGATCTTAAATGAGTAGAGATGTAATTTTGCCCAGGAGACAAAAGAGGGGCGAAAGATACCAGAGGGACAGTCACACTCATAGATTGAAAATAAACTGACAACGCTATGGCTAAAAAAGAAAAAGACAAACAGACAAATAATAGTACACAAAACACAACATAAAGACTAAGCAACACGAACCCCACCAAAAACTGGGGGTGATCTCAGGTGCTCAGGAAAGGTTAGCAGATCCTGCTCCACATGTGGCACCCGTCGTGTTGCTTATGTTATTACAAATCCGGTAAATAGTCTAATTCGGTAGGTAATATTCGTGAAAAAGGAAGGGTATTGTGGTTACGACATAAGGAACATATCCGATATCATCTGTGAAACGGTTATTCCATAACGGTCAACCAACTCGTGATGGCGTCCGTAAACTTTACGAAGGAATGATTTCAACTTCACCATTTGGAACTCTTGGTTTAATAGCTTCCTTGTACTATCCATCGGAGACCACATGATTGGGTGGTCAACAACTATAAGAAATTTAGGGAAACCGTTGCAATACAGAAAGATAGAAAGTATCCAACCTAGCAAAATGCTACACAGTTAAAACGTGAAATGTTGAAAGCGAAACACCGATAAGACAGGCAGCTAAAACATTCAGGCTCTTGACTTGGAACAAGCACATAAATAACTTTACAGAGTATAAAGATAGTGAGCGTTTTATCAGCTCCTAACATGGGGCAGTGTTGAAATATCAAAACATAAACATTATAGGAACAATTTGTAAAGCTTAGTTAGTAAGAGCTTGTCTTTAATGAAAGCTATTCAAAAATCATGTCTTTCAACACTAAATTTCAAACAATGCCCATTCATCAGTTAAACGTGAAGTCGTTGTTAACAACTTTAGTGATGCATGACTGTAAGATATACCTTCACTTGGAATGCTCAAACCAAAATATTTGAAAGCACAAGATATATGAGGACAAAATTAGATTGTAAGTATCGATACAAGTAATATTAAAACAACTTACTAGAATGATTAATCGATAACGTTTTGAACCCTTGTTTTTTTAGAGCATTATATTTTTTTTTATCTTTCTTGTTTAGCTGTTCTGGTTCTTGAAAATTCATTTTTTCTAGGAATCTAATATTCTATACGACAAAGGTCGTTCCCATCTTTTTTCCTAAAATATTTTATTTCAGTATTTTAATTTTTATGATAAATGTTTTAATGTTTGATTTTTTTCATCATTGTAATGAATAAAATCATTATTAAACATATGTATTTTAATTATTCTATTTCCATGGGCGTCCAGATTGAAAAATAAAGCAATTATTATAATAAGGATACGAACAGGGTTATAGAATTAACAGGGAAAGATGATATATAGATTATGTTATGTCTAAAAGTTATAAAAAAGAAAAACAGCTTGAGCTACAAATGTATACACAACTCTACAACTTCCATCGGTCATAAATGAATTTAAAAAGCAATTGATGTCATTGGGGCATGGCAGTTAATCAATAGTTTTGGTAGGGTGTATGTCGCTAATTATTCTATTTGTAGGGTTCTGTATGGACTGTTGTTTGTTTAGAATGCCATGCAGGCTTATACTGTTATGACGTTTGGCATATTTGATGTCTAGATCATACTTGGCTATGGAACGACAGAGCGCAGAGTTTCACAAAAAAAAAAAAAAAACAAAGACTCAGACGGAAGAGCATATCTTGAAATCGTGATATGTATTTTTTCTAGTAGATAAATCATACATCATTTGAATTCGTATTCATTTTACTCCAATTTGCGTATTTGTAACTTTTAACGAAAGCTTTGTTACAACAACCTATCTCTTTTTGTGACACACTTTCACTTTGACTTTAAGCAAGCAATTGTGATCTGAGGTTGTTTCCTCTCTGTATTTTTAATCATAGAGGCTTATTTATGCAAAAAGTTAAACATAAGTGGTGTCTGCGTGGAACAGATTGAACACAAATGAAGATAACATTAATTGAATTAATAATTGAAGACAGTCAACAAGATTAACGGTATTACATCAACATACTAACTCTTAAACTCTTCACGCCCTCATATATCGAATTCACGTGAGAAAATGTCCAAAGTAAAAAGGCGATTACAAAGATTGCGGTCAAATTGAACAAAGCTTTTGTTTTTGCTATAGTACGTTTGTTGTTAAATGAGGACCCAAATAGTGTATGACTTATTTACTAGAAAATTCACGTAATGTCATTTTGAAAGGGAAACCTGCCGAATCATGTTTCGGACTACAATTCCCATGATTTCTATATAAACTGCGCACGGGCGTCCCCCGGTTCAAGTATTTCTAGAAATGTGTTAGACAAAGGAACAACTTATTTCTGTGGGATATTCTTCCTTCTTCTGTTTTAATTTTTGACTTTCCTTACATTGACCATCCGCATCGATGTTTAACATGGTTTGTTCAGATTGTTCGGGTTGTTCACCTACAAAAAAGAAACAACGTGAAAGAAAAATATAAAAAGAAAATATAACTGCAATTATAAAATAATATTTGATATTATAACAGACCACACCAATCATCGCCAAAATTTTCCGAAAGCGCAGATATCCTGAATTGTATATTGTACTGTCAAGGAGTCAAGGGATTACTTTGTTATAAACACACACAAACATCTGTGCATGCACGTTTATTTGTGTATTTTTTAGGACAGTTGTACATTTAAAATGTATACTACATTTGTTTTCCTTATTATACAATGAACTTTTTTTTATTACCAATTTCAAGCTTAAATTTGAATACAATTATTTTGATATGCATGAGTTTTGTCAACATCTGTTTATTTTGCAATCTATCATTTTCGATATCATCCTTGTGATTCAAGGGTATTATAAGGATTTTGTTTTGTGTTTATCTAATGAGCTTTTAGTGTATTAATATAAACAATGTTTCTTTACAATAATTGGCCTCAAACACAAATAAGTACGTGGATGCTAAAACACAGGAATGTTCAATCAATAGCAGCAGTTGTTCTTCAAATTAACTATGTGTACTTTTAACTTATTAACATACTACCATTTAAATGTTATTCATTATATGACAATACTGCCTATAAAATTGAGCCGACAACTATTTTTTGAATGTGATAAAGTATTGGTAAATATTTAGAAGTTAATAAAGTTTGTTGGATCATGGAACAATGAGTGGAACGCAAGAATTCCAGTCTAAATTTTAATAATTAGGACTGAACATTAGAATTGTATATTATGCTTTTTCAGATGCCCGTTTCAATGAAAAACTGATTATCAATATTTATATTAAAATGAGTTTTCATTATTGAACAAAGTAACATTAATAAAAAAAAAAATAAAGAAGAACCATTTTGCTGAAAATAAGTATAATGTTTATGTTGATACAAACCCACTCCGTTTCTTTTTCGTGGAATTGAAATACATAGCACAAACATCAGAACAACCCAAAAACCATAGATTAGGAAAACGTATTTATCTGTAATAAAAGTTGTAGTACAGGTACATTGTATTGCGTAATTACGCACGAAGAAAACAATACACGAATACACTAATGTACAGTTGTTCACAGGGGAGTAGGGTTTCCTTGGTAGAGGTTCAAAGCTTTAGTTTATACAGTATTCTTTGTGACTCCTGTCCTGTTATACTTGTTTATGAAGCATTATACCCCTTTATTTTTATTAAAAATTATGGTTAAAATATGGTTTTCCAGTAAAAAAAAAAGGGTATTTGAATGAACTTACCTTTGCAATTCTTTTGCAGCAGTCCAATACATAAAGGAATAACAATGGCGAGGATAAACCAAAGTATCCCAGTAAATAGTTTGAAAAGGCCTAAGAATAGATATTAAAGACGTTAAGCATGAACACTTTTAAAGCAAATCAAGAGTTGATCACTTTTAACATGATTAACAAGCGAATACATACAGCTCTTGGATGTTGTAAACTTCCCAAAAGAACGTGTATGGTGTAATGTTGTATGGCATATGGTGCAATGGTAGAAGGTGTATGGTGCTATGGTGTATGGTGTTAGGGAAATGGTGTAATGGTGTAACGTGCGATCGGGTATGGTGGAAATGAATGGTGTACGACATTTAAAACTATACAACATATTGATAATAACTGATTTTTAATTTCATACATTAATTTACAATATTGTGATCAAAATTCGTTTTTTAAAATAAATAAATAATTTTGTTGTCGCACGCTTTCTTTTAAATTGTATTATGGTGTAATGTGTAAGGTGTATGGCGCAAAGGTGTAACGTTTATGGTGTAATGGCACAGGGTGTATAGTGTAATGGTGTATGGTGAATGGTGTATGGTGTTAGTGGGAAATTTACACCATGCAAGGACTGTAATATAGATGATGTATTCAATCTTTATATCTCAGGAACTGAAAATGTAACTACGTTCGAATTAAACAATTTATTTTCATTTAAACAGCATTTTTTATCATAATATATAAAGGCAACAGTATTATACCGCTGTTCGAAACTCATAAATCGATAGAGATAAAAACAAATCCGGGTTACAAACTAAAACTGAGGGAAACGCATCAAATATAAGAGGAGAACAACGACACAACAAAAACACAACATTAAAATGTAACACACACAGAAACGAACTATAATATAACAATGGCCATATTCCTGACTTGGTACAGGACATTTTAAGAAAAAAATGGTGGGTTGAACCTGGTTTTGTGGCATCCCAAACCTCCCGCTTTTATGGCAACGTCAAACACAACACCAAAACGACAACATCACATGACAGGACCACAATACAAATAAATGGGAGAACATAAAGGACAAAGAAACACACTAATAATAGCTAACAAAAGGTACTAGGCTTAAAATTCAATACGCCAGACGTGCGTCTTGTCCGCACAAGACCAACCAGTGACGCTCAGATGAAAAAAGTTCATATGTAAACAATCGAAAATATTATTTTCCAGATTTTATAAAATCTCTTTATTAAAGTGTCTAAATATATAAACTCGCGGCTTTGTGTACAATTACACGAACGAACACAAATAAGTTGACCGATACGATGTCTATGTGATTCCCCAAACAAAATACATGTTTACCCGATCTTAGAATTTCTAATTCCGGAAAAGTCGTACAGGTAAGAGTGATCTGTACATTTAACGATTATGTACTATATTCTTTGTTGTGACATTTTAACTACACGAGAATCTGAATGACGGGTATTGCATGAAAACAAATGATGCTAATGCTGTTGATGTACCTGATCTTACCTCTAGGTTTTTTGTTTTATCTTTTTAGTACAGCGTCTATTGAAAATGGATCGTCTTATTTTCATATTACGTGAATTGTACAGGCAAGGTACTGTTAAACGCCGTATTCTAACTTCAATGCCAATTGTTGTCATTGGTTTTTGTTATTCCATATCATACTTTAATATCATTTACGGGTCTTGGGATTAACGAAATAGGTTTAAAAGTATGAAAGTTATCGAGTACAAATAAGCGATTAAAGATAACTGAAATAGCAGAAAACTGTTCCGATTATCAATTCACGCTGAACCGTATCTCATATATTGTGTTTTACTTTCAATAATTAGTTCTAACATACATAATGTCCACTTAGATCATGTTTTTTATGTTTTTAAAATTTAGCAAATATCCTTTTCTTTAATAAAAGTATCATGATTGTACTTTGTACACTGTGGGACTATGAAAGAAAGTAATGAATCGAATTACCAATACAAACATTAGAGTGAAACAAACAGTAGCTATTCCAACAAAAGTCCTCTCTCCTCCATTCCTTTTTTTCTAGGATTAACTCTAAAATTAAATAAGAACCATCAAATGAAGGAGCATTCAAAAGTCACAATATCTTTTATAAAGAACTTGTTTAAATGTGATTTTGTGACTATGAAACTTTTACTGTGAAAGTACTTTTATTTGTTGTCATTAATTTTTGTGGTTTGAGAAAAAGTTACATTTTCGTGGAAAATCGAGTGAAGAATTTGAAGCAATCGGAAACAAAGATTCTTGAAATAAATCATATCTTGTTTAATAATGATTTTGGATACAGTTTGGGTTTTATAAAGATTGAATGGGAATTATCCTGTCTGTAGTTGAACACATAGTTCAAAGTGATTTTGCTGATATTCGATGTATTCTTGCGATTATATGCCCGTATACATGTAGTCAAACCTACAGGGGGATCTTCCATGTCTTTGTTCGGACAACGATTGTTATATTTCGTTGGACGCTAACATTCGTGGATAAAGCAATCCACGAAATCCACGAAAATTGGTATCTCAAGAATAAAAGTACTTTCACAGTATTTTTTTATTTTTTGGTAATTTTTGACATGGCGTTGTCAATTTATTTTCGAGTAATGAGTTTAAACGTCCCTTTAGTATCTTTCGACTCTTTCTTATACGTTTCTAGATAAATTAAAGAATGACAAATGATTAATGATATTTGTTTTTCTTAGACACTTTCTTCAACTGAGTTAATTCATACTTGTACTTACTTATTTCCTTTGTTTTACGGTCATTAATATAAATTTACAGTTAATCTATTTTGCTTCATCCAAAACGTCCCAAGGTCTTTTTACTCACACATATGATTATTACAATAGTCAGATATAACAAATAACTATAGACTATTTTGCTGTGTATTCTCTTCTTATTTGTTTCGGTTAAGCGCGAGCGATGACGAGCTATATTATGAAAAATCATTAATAATACCAGTCTAAAAATTGTGTACGCAGATGTCAAGGCAGAGATCCAAGGTAAACACAAGCGCTCTTGTGCTTACGTGAAATATCATTGATTAGATCAGGTTCTATATATCTACTGTTGATAAAACTTACAATGATTCTAAACACCAGGTTACTATTGTGTTTCTTCCAAAGGCAATGGTAGCGTTAAAATTGTTTCAATTTGAGCTCCTCTGATGATTTTATTTTGTAAAAGAAACGTTGGTGTATTACGATAATTATATTAGTTCACATCCTGTATACAAGTACTGAAATATATGTCGATGTTTAGATTATCGAAGTTTACTGAGCATTACAATGTAAGACTGAGCAGTTATTAATGGAGCAAAAGTTAAGTATCCACAAATATTCAGGATATCGAATTTTATATCAAAAATGGGATGGCTGGCAGGTTGTGAAACAACTATCTACCCGATATCAAAAACGTAATACAAGCAATAATAAGTCATTTCAAAACCTTCCCTTCAAAAGATCCATATCGTATAGAAAACATATGACTATAGATGTGTACTGATTGATAATTTAGTCTAAGACACATGATTGTTTTATCAGTTGTTATTGGCCATCTTTAGTTCATGTCCTTTGTGTTTTTGGTTGTTTTTATGCTTTTTATCAATCTGATGACTTGAACCTGTTTCAAATGATTTTCATGATTTGTTATTATGTTGCAGTTACCATTAGTTAATAAATCATGTTTTTTTTAGACTAAAATATCAACCATTAATCGTCTTTTAACAGATTAAGTTGAAGACTTCATTAACAATCTTAGAACAAGCCTTGTACAATACCAAAATAGAAGTATTGAAAAAAGTAAAATCACAAAAATACTGAACTCCGAGGAAAACTGTCAACTGTCATATTCCTGACTTGGTACAGGCATTTTCAAATGTAGAAAATGGGGGATTGAACCTGGTTTTATAGCGCTAAAACTCTCACTTGTATGACAGTCGCATCAAATTCCATTATATGTACAACGAAGCGTGAACAAAACAGACTTAATAGGTAAAATTGTCAAAATAGGGGTACAGCAATCATCACTGTGTCACAATCTTAATTAGAACAAAAACAAACAAATATTTAACAAAGAAGCACAAAAAGCATCTATCAAATTTAACAACCACATTCATTGCTTACTTATATAATGTATTTTAAATCAACCTATAAAGGATTGAAATATTTGAAGTCCTGTGACTGCATTCACATCAACAATAGTGTAGAGTCGCGTGTTTGACGTCAGAATGTAAACGTCACACAGGAAGAAATATAAAATAATTTTGTCGTTCAAAGTATTTTCTGCTCAGACACTGGTGACGTTTTACAAAGTCTGAGTAGGAACTGCAAGCTCTTGACTATCGAATAAGATGGGAAATGTATATCCCATATGCAGGTGAAGTTGGTATATTGCTACTAAGGTGGGGGAATTTGATAATTTCAAAATTAAAATCGTCTCGTTTGTCATAGATTCTGGTACTGAGATGACTGTGTATGTCAAATTCGAGGTATAAGTCCAAAAATGAGGCGGAGGAAGCCGTGTCTGTTGTTTCTTTAATTTCTAGTTCTGGGGGATATATTAATAGAACCCAATCAGAAAAGATCGGATTGTTAATGGAAAGACCATCATCAATATATTTGAAAGGGAAATTAAATAATCTGGCTTCTTTGATCTTCTTGTTTTTGACAAGTGTCTGAAGGAACTCCGATTCATATGAAAATAAGAAGAGGTCGGCAAGGAGAGGCGCACAGTTCGTTCTCATAGGAATGCCGACAATTTGTTGAAAAAGTCTACCTCCAAATTCAACAAATATGTTGTCGATAAGAAACTTCAGCATACTAATCACTTGTTCCTCTGTGTAGCATGTTTTACCCTTTTGTTAATCTATTAACAAAATATGCCCTAGGGTACCCCAAAGTAATAAATTTATAGCGTAGGCTACCATTTTTATGTTGAAAGGCATTGTGGATTGTTTCTTTTAGGCGATTTTCAATTTCACATGGGGAATGGTGGTATACAGGGTTGAAAAATCAAAAGTTTTGATAGAACTAATTTCAGAAAAAGATCGAAATTTAAAATTATCCATAAGTTATTAAGAATTTTTAAGAATCCACATATGGTTAATACCACTACGCGAGTAAACAGTTTCACAGTATTTCTGAAGACCCTCTTTCACTGCGGACAGAATTTTATTCAATCTAATGGACAATTCTTTAGTGGAACATGCAGATGAGCCGGCAATGTACCGTTGTTTGTACGGATTTTTTATGAAGCTTAGGTATCCTATACAAACAAGGTAAGTCCTCCGATTTGTTGTTCAATGTAATGTTCATTGAAGCCATGAAGGACTTATGATTTGCCAAAATCTCATCCTTGTCAAATGATATGTCTTTGTATGTGGGATTACCTGAGTGCTCATTTATTCCTAATTCTTTTACAAGACATTCGTAGTAATAAGATTGACATACAGAGACAATATTGAAAGGATCATAATACGAATCCAAGTTTTACACTGTACGACAATATATGATACTTATTAATATGTAATAATTTATTGAGAACAAAAAACAATTTTTTACCGAATTAAAAAGCAAAGATGTGACATCTAGTTTTCATCAAGGTTAATACAGAACAGAATTTAGAACGGTTTTAATTCTATGTTGTGATTTAGTATTCTAATATGACGACCTATACATCGTCAACTAGTATATTCACAGTAAATCTATTTTTATGCAAACAAATTGATACATAAATTGGCTGTTCTGCGTTATGCCCATTCTATTCTTCTTATCATTTGACTTATTGAAGCCTGTTCCCTTGAGTAAATGTCTGCAGTATGAGTAGATGATTCTTAAATATCAAATGCAACGATGCATGAAAGGTACGACATAGTTATTTAATTTTTCAATTAGCTGGAGTTGAGGTGGATCTTTACTAAGTTTAGCAATACAATGTGATTCCTACAAAGAGAGGACCAAGTCTGTTATTAAATGGTATCCATGGCAACATCTACAACCTGCCAATATATATTATTGTCGTTGAAAGTATATCTACAGCTGTTGTCAACGAAAAACTGTACAGTTTCAAGCACTTAGTCATAGTTCAAATAAGGGAGACCACCCAGTCTCGCTTCCATTGACGCTCATGAGATTCCCTTAGTTTTAAGTTCTTAGTCGATTGACCAGATTTGAACATCGGTATTCATCTGTCACCTTAATTTATGCTTACTTTCAATCAATATTGTCATGGTTGAAAAGGACAACATGTCTTGATTAGAGAAGCTTTTCGGTATATTGTAACATGAGAAAACTCATAGCTAACTTACACCAAAGCAATTTGCGAAAAATCAAATATGACAGACATGAACCAACGACAACCACTGAACTACAGGCTCCTGTCTTTGGACAAACAGATAAAGAATGTGGCGGTTAAACATATCTGAATGCGGCAACCCTAATCTAACCTTGGACAATGGTGTAACAGTACAAAAGAGGGACGAACGATACGAAAGGGAACGGGATTGTAGTTACTACGTAAGGAACATATAACATAGGTACAAACTATTAAAAAACAATGTTGATAAATGACGAATGTCGTCAAACTTTGTTAGTATGGTAACTTTAGATAATTGTTAGGCCAATTATAAGAATAATTCCCCTTGTCCTCTCACCTTATTAAATCAGCTAGTCAATCACATATAACAAAGATACAACAATAATAATCATAGCCCTAGTAGAACTAGTAGAACAAAAGGAAAGAAAAGGAAGGTGGGCAATAGTGAACAAATAATCATACAGAATTTTAAATTATAGAAACTAGTTAAACATGTTAAACACAATATATTCTACACTTTCATAAATAAATAATAGAATACTTACCAAGCTTGTCCTTGTTGATGTTTACGGCTATTCTGATTATAAGTAGTAAGGTTACGCATATTATACCGCCAATAAATGTCCAAGCCAAATGTTCCTCAACACAGTGGTCTGAAGTCAAAATGATAAACAATATTCGAGAACAAAAAAAAAAGCCAGAAATTCATGTAAAAAACAGCAGTTGAAAATAACGAAATAGTGTAGTTTTGCTTTATTCAAAGATTTGTTAGCTAAAAATGTACTAAGTTGATGATTTGTTTGAATAAGAACAGAAGTGTTAAAACGTTGTTATTATTCATGAATTTTTTTAGTTAAACATGTTATAGTAACAAATAAATTAATCAAATACTTGCACAATTTGAATTATACTTGAACTATGAATTGTTTCCTTTTTTAATGCTTTCTGTGATTGTTTACGATCTATTTCGGGCTTTTTTTGTGGATCAGTGGTATGTGGTTCTTTTTTCCAAATGTTCAAACCGTATTAGCAATTGTAGCAAACAGTGTAGTTGGCCTAAATTTGTTCCAAGTACAAACAAGACTTTGACGAGCCGCATATGGACCATTTGTGTGTGTGTACCATATTTGTCAATGTTGACCGTCCTTTCGTCGATTTTTTTTGGCCATTGTATTGTCTGTTTTTATTGCTATCTTATATGTAATATATATGTAAGACTCAGATCGACGTCCGGCCTCTAATAGACGTCCGTTCCTCAAATCATGTCCAATATTTTGATACTCTAATCGACGTTCAATGTTACGTCATATAATGCCAAAACGACGTCTGATTGATAACTGGACTTACACCTGTACATGTACATGTTTTGTAGGGTTCTAGATTATGAGAACTACATTTTCAAACACTTATACAGAATTGCAATATAGATTTTTTCAACCCGAAATAGGTAACATAGATATTAGAAGATGTTGTATGAGTGCCAATGAGACAACACTCCATCCAAGTCAAAATTTATAAAAGTAAAACCATTATAGGTCAAAGTACGGTCTTCAACACGGAGCCTTGGCTCACACCGAACAGCAAGCTATAAAAGGCCCCAAAAATAACTAGTGTAAAACTATTCAAACGGGAAAACCAACGGTCTTATCTATATAAAAAACGAGAAATATGTGAAATACCGTTTTTAATCAGTTTTCTACAGGTACAGCAAAATTTACTAATCAAATCTTTGTATCTATGAAAGAATTTAGTAAAAGTTTTACGTAATTTATGGTAACGAAATCCCTGACTTAATAATTTACCAGTGATGCATTGATTACGTTCGTTAAAATCGATGACATCACTGCACACACGGGCATAACGAACGAGTTGGGATATATAAACACCGTATGATGGAGCCAAAGGAACATCGCCGTCTAAAAAAGGGAAAATTAACAATAGGGAATGAAAGTCTCTTTTGTCGTAAATTTTGTATGGAGTTTTCCTTTAGAGATTGAAATGTCAATATCTAGAAAAGGACAACTACTGCTGTTTATATTAGATTTAGTTAAAGTAAGTTATTTTGGGTAAATTGCGGTAGTATATTTAGAGAACTCTGGATTATTTAATGAAACAAAATTATCATCTAGATAACGGAGGGTATTGTTGAATGTATCAGCCAAATGTAACAATGACGTGTCTTTACTGAGTTTGGTCATAAACTGAGATTCATAGCAATACAGGAATAAATCTGCTATTAAAGGGGCGCAGTTAGTGCCCACAGGAATACCTACTTCTTGTCGATACACTTTATCGCCGAAACGTACATATATGTTGTCCAGGAGAAAATTTAAAGCTTCAATCATATCTTCACAATTCCATTAAGTGTATCTAGCATACTTTCCTTTTTCGTTACAGAAAAAGGCTTTAAACGAGTTACAGCAAATAAATTTGTAATGAGATTTTTCAAAAGACCATTTAATTAAATATGAAAACTTTTTCTTGATAAGATTGTGTGGAAGTGTAGTATAGAGAGTAGAAAAATCATAACTGTCAACAGCATTAAAAGGACCATCAAAAGCATGTATTTTATCTAAAACCTCTAAAGAATTTTTAACACTCTAAAAATAATTAATACCAATATTTTCATAAGCTTTATTACAAAAGTTATCAGTACATAGTAGGGACTTTCAAATGTTCGGAAGAAGCTTTTAGGTGGGTAGTGGTAGTGATATGTTTGTTTAGAATTTGACTCTCTGTGGAGCGTACGGACCTAAATGTAGAACCTCCGTGTAGTATATGCGTAACACCACCACTACATTATTTGCTGCTTTGTCTGACGGTACGAACACAAACCGCTTTGCGAGTACTCGGAGTTTATTTTTTTATTCAAGAAATGGGAATATCATGGACCCTATTACTAATTTCAGAATTGTTTTCAAAATTAGATATACGAATATTAACAGTATTCATAATTTTATTCAAATAACTGTCTAGAGATTTTTTATCAGATTTTTCACGTTTACACCAATTTTTACAGTAGACAGACAGAGCGTCTTTAATGACCTGACGACACTGTTTCCAATCTATTTTAGATGGAGGACGATATATCGGTCCTTTCTTAAGAAAAGTTATGAGATCACGGTCTTCGACGATGTTGAGGTCTCCTGTAAGGACATGACCATAGGGAACATATTTAAAACTAGATTTTTCACAGTCTCAAGTGGAAGGAACATTATTTTCTATATTTACGTCTGGTGTAACTGACTTATAATTAAAAATCAAACTTCTGCTGTTTTTTTTTTATTAGAATACGAAATAATAGGTGGTTCTATATTATCAAAATATGGAGGTATTTGGCTTTGGATGGTAGAGTCATTGAATATACTAGATAAGTTAATAAAATCAATACCTCTATTTATATATCTTAATTTAAGAAAATGCCGTTTATGATTTTCAGGTTTATCGATACTAGGAAATAGCCTATGATGACAAAATGCTGTAATAATACGAGAATATTCATACATTGGGCTAAAAAAAGAAATTTTATCACACTCCAGAAAAATAGCATATAATTTACTTATTGGTATCTGACACCAGTTTGCATAATACTTGATGTCTGCCATTATTTTTTATTATAGATAACAGATCAGCAAGTGTATAATTTATACGATGTTTAATACGTTGATTACGATTTTGCGTTTGCCATGAGACCTTTTATTTCTAAGTCGTTTATCGACAATATTAATGACATCGATTGAAGTTTTAGTCAAGTTCCCCTGTCCTAATATTTTGTCCTTAAGACCGAGAGGATAAGCTGTTTTAAGTCTTTTTATTCAAAATAATTCGCAAACTTCACGTGATTTTTCAAATTGCTTGTGTGATTCTCCTGGTTGTTTCTGAACGGTTTGAAGTGATTGGAATTTTAAAAATTTTAGATTGTTATTATGCCTATCTAAATGTTGATATATCAAACTTTTGAATTTTTAAGGTCTACGAAAGCGGTAAAGGTGTTCTTGATTTCTTTTGTAATACTCTCGTCCCGTCTGTCCTACATATTGAATATCACACTTAGGTTGGGTTCAAGTTACCACATATATAAGGTTTTTTTTCAGGTAATGTCACAGGAAAAGGAGAGCGAAAAAGCTCTCCCGTTCACTGTTGACCTTACAGTATTTTGTGAAGTTAATCTAAAACAGGTTAGTCACTTTTTGGCATTGCACGTAAACACATGCATATAAATATTTATCTTGATTAAAAGAAATTCCAATCGATCTCGTTGTAGTAGTATGTCATTCTTATTTATATTAACAGATGGCATGCATGTTAGTGTAGGTCAATGAGAAAACAACCCAACGACAAAGAAAACCAAACAACATCAAGAGGGCATTAGTCAGTCTCCAACAATACACAAAATAAAGAAGTACAACCAAATCTTTTGTGAGTATTATAATTCGGACTCGGTGTAAGATATTTTTCGACATATTTCTGAGTTCTACACCTGGAGTGAAACATATACGTAAGAAAATGGCAGTATTATTCTGTGCTGCTACATCACTGTTCCAGGTTTGGGGAGGGTTAAATGCTCACACACATGTTTAAACCCGACACATTATGTATGTACCTGTAGTCCAGTGGTTTGTTGTAGGTTTATATCTGCCATATTTGTTTTTCGGAATTGTTTTGTTATAAAAAGACTTTGTGGTATGGGTTTTTATCATTGTTAAAAGCCTTACGGTTGCCTATAATTAGTCTATAATTGCTCACATTCGCTTTATTTGAACTGTTGTGAATAGTATTAGTTGTTCCATTTGTAATCATATGACATCTCCTTATTTTAATTTAATCTCTAAAATTTAAAAAATGATATCACAGCCTGTTTATATACAAGTAGGTAATAAATTAAAAAATAAAAATAAATAGATTTTATTTGTCACACATAATATGTTTAAAAGTCTAAAGGTTTCAGCTGATACGGTTTAGTTCAATTTTGTATTTTGTGTCCAAAACGGACGTCAAGTAGAGAAGTTAAAAATTGAGCGTCGTTTAGAGAAGAACAAAAATGGACTTCTGTAAGATAGGCCGTCGATTTGAGGATATTTTATTGCGACGTCAGATTTGGACGTCGATTTGAGGAACGTACGTCGATTTGAGACCGAACGTCGATCTGAGTCTATCCCAAATTCATGTATTTAATTTTAATGTTATATTTGTTGTTCTCGTCGGATTTTGTCAAATGTCTTAACGTATTTTCTATTATATTCGTGTGTTATGGTATAGATAAATAATCACCCCCTTCATTTATTAGATTTTAGTTTGGTTCCACGAAATTTATACGATATATTTGGTTCACAGTTTGATTCAGAAGTAACACCGACATAGCTAGATCTTAAATTAATTATCTAATTACTACTACAATTTGATATTAATAAGTATTGTAATTTTCATTGTTATTAATAAATGTAATGGCAGTATTACAAATCTATCTTGAATCAATCCTAATCCTATCTTATTTTTGGGAAATATTTTTACAAATTCATATGTGACGTCACTTTGTGTGTTTTTTTTAGAATTTCAAATGTGACGTCACTTTGTGCGTTGAGGCTTTAGCTAACTCGGCTATGTATTTTTATATGTTGGATTAAGTTGTTTTATGTAATGTATCCGTTTTTATTCTGTAGTTAGTCCCCACTTTGGTTTTATCATGTTTATCTATTATATAGTCATTTTATAATATTTACTGTTTGCAAAATTATAAATTATTCTAAATAATAAGGATGTTCTTGTCCCAGGCAGAAATTCCTGGCCGTGTTATGCGCAACTTTTTGGAAGTTTTAGTCCTCGGTGCTCTTCAGCTTTGTACTTGTTTTGGCTTTCAAACTTTTTTTACCTGAGCGTCACTGGTTAGTCTTGTGTGGACGAGACGCACGTCTGGCGTATTGAATTTTAAGCCTAGTACCTTCTGCTAGCTATTATTCGAGTGTTTCTTTGTCCTATATGTTCTCCCATTTATTTGTATTGTGGTCCTGTCATGTGATGTTGTCGTTTTGGTGTTGTGTTTGACGTTGCCATAAAAGCGAGAGGTTTGGCATGCCACAAAACCAGGTTCAACCCACCATTTTTTTCTTAAAATGTCCTGTACCAAGTCAGGAATATGGCCATTGTTATATTATAGTTCGTTTCTGTGTGTGTTACATTTTAATGTTGTGTTTTTGTTGTGTCGTTGTTCTCCTCTTATATTTGATGCGTTTTCCTCAGTTTTAGTTTGTAACCCGGATTTGTTTTTATCTCTTTCGATTTATGAGTTTCGAACAGCGGTATACTACTGTTGCCTTTATTTACATATATATACATACTTATTTTATCATCAAATTTACGTTCCGTTAGAACCTATTCTCTAAAACATATATTTCTTGATGTGTTGGTCGCATATATGAATATCCGTTGTACTTTCATATCAAGGATAATATAAATGGTTTAAAATATGAATTAATGTATACTTATTAAATGGGTATGAGAGGAATAGCTGATTTATTGTCTCCCGAGGTGCAACTATTGCCTTTTGGCTTAATTAGATACTATCATTTCCGCACTTGTGTATAGTTGTCCTTGATTATGAAAACACCGAATTTGACTTTTTAATTCATATTAACATTAACGACCATTAAATTTTTTTTTTTGAGCAGGATAAGTTTTAAAAAGCGTGTTTGTTTATCTTATAATTGTCCTTTTAATGACCGTGTTGTCTTTTTGGGCTATTTGATAATTGTATTTTTTTCATCGTTCGTTTTGTATCCGTGTATCTTCTTGGTCCTTGAATGCACAATATTTGTTTATAGGGAGCTTTCAACTCATATTCACATATAAAAGCACCCAACTTACCTTTTTGATATACACTCTTTATTCCTAGATATAAAAAAAATAGAGTATGGGTTAAAAAGTTGTTCTTAAGATTTTCCCTGATAAGAACTGATATATACATGTTTTCATGAACATAAGTAAAATTTATATCGGTATATGCACCTTCTTTCCGGTTTCAGTTATCAAATACTGTAAACCAACTAATTTTCGCGTGCGATTAATTTTCGCGACTTTCGCGAGAAGAAAAATAACGCGAATATAAAGCGCCTCAAATACATAAAACTTGGATCTCTCCTATTTAACTACATCAAATATATTTGAAAATCGCGAAATTTAATCGCCGTGAAAATAAGTTGATTTACAGTAATAGACTGAAAGATATATGTAGGACTCAAATCTATTGAGGTTTCAAGATCTATTGCAGATATCAAATCTATGACAAATTTGACGTCACAAGCGCCGTACAAATCATAAATCTATGGCAGTTTTCTGTTTTTCTCCATATCTAAGACATAATTAGAAATCTATTATTTTTTTGGAAAAAGAAGCAAACGTCACACTTAGATAACGTCATATTACATAGCGGAACACAAATATTCGAAAACCATTCCAGATGATGTTTTTTTCTATTAAAGTGCAAATTCAGTTTCGAAAGTCCCTAATTTAGAAGCGTTTATGAAAGGACAATGCAAAGTTACTGTCCATTTGCAAATTTAAAGAATCAAATCTTAAAAGGGGATACGGAAAAACTATAAAGATGCTATTTTATGGCAAATGCCATATACGAAAATGAAATTAAATCCTCCTATGATACCTGGTGTTGTCTTGGTCCTCGATAGTACGAGTTTTGACAGTATATGTCTTTCATGTTTGATTTATGCTATTCTATTTCACGTTATGTTTTAATATCCCTACAGTTCCCTTAAAATCTCTCTCAACAGCAGTTAGTACAAAAACAACCTGCACTATTGTAGCAAATATTGATTTTTGAGATAAGGAAACTGATCTTAAAAACACAGGCTTTGTAAGCCACCATTCAACACGTGTAACTTAAAATTGGCTAAAAGAAATAATCCACATTGCTAAAATAAATTAGTAGCATGCGATATAGATTTATTCTTTTGAGTTACCATAAAGGCATGTATTGTTGAAAAATAAAGAAAAAAAGGTAAAACATGCTACACAGAGGAACAAGTGATTTGTATGTTGTTTTTTTTATTTATTGACAACATATTTGTTGAATTTGGAGGTAGAATTTTTTCAACAAATGGTAGGAATTCCTATTGGAGAGAAATGTACGCCGAACGCTTTTTATTTTCATATGAGTCTGGGTTCATTCACACACTTGTCAAAAACAAGATGGTCAAAGAAGCGAGGACTTTTAATTTCACATTCAGATATGTTGATGAATTCCATTAACCATGTTAACAATTCAAACTTGTCTGATTGGGTTCCATTCGTGTATCCTCAAGAACAAGAGCGAGAAATAAGAGAAATAACAGAAACGGCTTCCTCAACCTCATTTTTAGACTTATACCTCGAATTTGACATACACAGTCATCTCAGAATCTATGGCAAACGAGACGATTTTAGTTTTTAAATTATCAATTTCGGCCACCTTAGTAGCAATATGCCAACCAATATAATTATACATTACCCAACTTATTCGGTATTCAGGAGCTTCAAAAACATAAGAAAAGTACACTAAAAACACTTGCAGAAGCCTAATTCCCCCGCATTGGTCGAGTCTAAATATATTCAACACAAATGATAGTTAAACAGTACTCAGACTGATATAGACAAATAACAGTTACCTAATTGCATTAAAAACGGACCGATTAAATGACATTACATCATTTATTTATTTATTTTTTATAACTGTGTAGCATTTAGATAAGACCATAAGATAGTTTTATGAAATAAAGGGGTGAATTTATATTTTTAAATTCCAACTTTTCAATATAACGATTTCCTATTTTATGAATGAGGAAATCAAAACCCTATACAGACCTCATTTACAACTGAACAATGAATGTTCTGCATAAAAACTTCTCGTTATATATATATTTGATGTTTTTAATCTGTCAGTTATTATGAAAGGAATTCGTAAAGACCCTACCAAATGAAAACAGTAAGTAAACTCTTCCAACAATAAGCTATTCAAACAGCATGTTTCATAACTTCTACACGAACAGACCTAGATGCATAAGGTCCTTCACAATATTCAGGAAAATGTTCATATTGGTTTTGATTCTATAATTTTCCTACACTATGTTTCATCTAAATGTTGTCTGTTCAGTCCAATTAATTAATAATCGTATTTTTAGGTTTAACTTTACGGTATGGGCTTTGCTCATTGAGGCATACGGTGACCTATATTTGTTAATTTCTGTGACATTTGGTCTTTTGTGGAGTGTTGTCTCAGTAGCAATCATACCTGGGATATTTTCGCAAAGTTGATCATCATTCTTAAATTGAAATACAATGTATCATATGAAAACAAACACTTTTATTTTCGTCATCCGTCATTCCCTTCTCACATCTAAATGAAGAATAAACAAAAACAACTTTAAAACAGCCTTTTAGCTTTCTAAGTTTAATAATCGCCTGACAAAACCATATATCATAAACCGCAATAAAATCGTAGATAAGAACCATAGTAAACAGTATTTATGTAGTAATTTGCAAAACCATAAAAATAAGTTTGCACTATCATAGAGTTATTGAAATGGAAATGTTACGTTATAACATTTTACAAGATCTTGTTTTCATGTACTATGTACATTGAATAATTTATGGAGTTGGTTGATTGATGTTTGCTTTACCTCCAAATGCAAATATTTCATGCTTGTTCATGACGAGAACACACAAATTTTCAATACAAGAGGTGGATCTTACAATAGGAGGTAAACATTAAGGTAGGACGTGAAATTGGAATATCACTGGAAACTGAGTGTATATTGAATAAAGATAGAAATTGAGCCTTACAACAGCTGGCAACATCTACATCCCTTAAATAATTGGTGAGAAAATAGTCAATTTGCAGAGAACGTTGATCCATGAAATCTATTCTGAAGTCGGCCATCCATATTTACGTGTAGTTTCTAAAATAATTTTAACATTTCTGATTTCGGTTTGATACTTTTAGCACCACTTAGTAATTGTGAAATTTTTGTGAAACTGTAATTTATTTATCTCTGTACATTAGTTTTTGGTATTATATTCTGTACTGTCGCTTTCCTGGTTTGTTTCGTGCGTGTGTTGTCTTCGAGATCGGGAGGTCGTTTGTTAGAATCTCGACCGGGTCTTACAAAGACGTAAAAATTGGTACATGTTTTTGCTGTTTCTACGCTAAACTAGCGGTATTTGTATTTAACAGTAAGAGCACAGACTTGTCGGTTAGGAGCCAGAAATGTTCCGGTTAGGGTGACTATTCTTCCTGCGAACTGATATCTTCATGTGAACTTACGCGTAAAAAAAACTGGTTCAGCGTGTCGATCTAGTACAAAGCAGCGTTAATACTCATATTATATTTACATGTAATTCTTCTGAATATTTATTCATTATCATTTTTAACCGTTATTCTATACACTGAAGTGTTTTTCTTCTACTGGTTTATATTACACCTCCTTTAATTTCCACAGAAAAAAGGACAGGTGATGTTTTACAACCAAAAACGGTAAATAATATTAAATTAAATGTCCCTGTTGTAATATATATTGTTAAATTGAATCTGTAATCTTAATCATGTGACAGTTTGAGCTTATTCTGTATACGCTTTTTTCTATAACAAAAGACTAAGTTGTCTCTTAATATTTTGATTTGTCTGTGTCGATCGGTAGCTGCCACATTAATGTATAGTTCTATCTCATTTATTCAAAACCAAAGGCTTGACTTGGGTATAGGAATATTGACATCTCTCGATATCTCCAGCATGACAGTATATCCTTGCTAAAGGACTGTTCGGCTGCTTATACCTGTAGACGAGACTGCCGTCGTTGTACACTTATGATTTCTTGCCACTCATTGCAGCTTTTTTTCTGTTCTACTCCCATCCTCCTAGTACGGTTGGATAGGATATAATGTAACCCCTAATGTGGACTACGTTATTTTATATCCAAAAAGATTAAATGCAAAGAGAAAAATAAGGAAAGAAATACTAAAATAAAAGCTTAAAAATCAAATTTATAAATGTTGGTAAACTGCCTGAGATAACTATCAACTGAAGACTAATGGATGTACATCACTTAATGATGCTGATTAACAAATTGCTCCCTTGATGTCCAGTGGCAAATATGTCATGCATATTTACGACGAGATGTTGAGTGGATCAAACTAAAGCAAATCGTGACAATTTCAGAGCATCACTTTAATAAGATGGAGCGTTGACTAGAGGTAAAACGTTTGCCGAAGTAGAATAAAGTTGAACTATAATCAAAATCGTATGTTAAATTATAAGACTCCCCTGTTGTTTTCCTCCACGGTAGACAAATGCCAAAAACGAAATGATATGAACATACAATCATAAGTAAATGAGATATGGACTGATTTTAAAAATAAAATCCTTTTGCAGCCTGCATTTCACGGTTTCGGACATGTTTGTGTTTCCACTCAAATACCGTTTGATCATTGACTGGAGATATCAAATCAACCAAAAGCACTTTGATTCTCTGAAATAGTACATAATGTATCTAAGATAATTATGTTGCTTTGAATAACAACGAAACATGAACGAACAGGTTTGTAATACATCATATATCATGACTATCTTCAATTAATATTGTGTTAGAAATACAAATATTACCCTTTCTCCAAGTTTTCTGTTAATATTGCGTAAAAAAGTACAGTACCTGTATTTATGTCGGACACATTAACAAAAGCCTGATCTCTTTCGGTACCATGTTGACATTTCCAAGTACCAATGAAGTGTTTCTGATTATGTCCATGTATAAGTAGCAAAGTTGTGTTTGTACGAATATCCTGAGATATGAAATTGCTGTTTGACGGATGACATGAAGGGAAAGGTACTGGATTTAAACAATATCCTTCTTCTTTGTTATCAGGATTATAAAAGTATAGTCTCCATTGTAGTCGGCTTACTCTACATTTAAAAGTTATTTTTTCCTTTTCAGCTTCCCACGTTAAACAGACATGGACGTTACAGGCGGTTATAACTGAAAACATAGAATAATAGACAAGTGACCTGTTAGTCCCAGAGGGAATCACCAGTACAGTAGACAGTACTTATTTGTTTGCATGAAAATAATGATATTGTTTTCTTGAATTTTTCTTTCATAAAACCATTTTAAAATAAGGATTGTACCCCTCATGATTAGCCTTGCTTTTTGTCCGGATTTGGCTTTACTTTTAATCCTGTTTGGTTTTATCAGCGCTGTTCAATGTTTTTACTATATTTGTTTTATTTGAAAATATGTTGGCCACGAGATTCACCAAATAACCATAGCATCTTGTGAAATAAATTGTTATTATTGCTTAATTATTGAAACCAACTATTTCGTTCGCTTAAATATGTATTTTTGATTCATTTAATCGGGTATTTGTTTTCCTTTTCCCTCGCAAGAATGTTTTCTTTAAACTATTGCTGTATAAAAATGGAACAACACTTGATAAATTTAAGCTGTCCAAAGCGCTTTGCTGGATTTACCTTTATCAGGAACAATCAATTCCGAATGTTCGAAAGTCAAGGATGAATAAGAATCGAAACAGCTGAAGAGCTATATGATAAAAAAGATCTAATAATAATAGTTAAATTTATATAAGGTCAACTTTGCCTGAGGGGGTTGAAACCTTAATTTTTTTAAATCAACTTGTGAATTTATAAATGAACAATTTCAGAATGGTTTGTTATTAATCATGAATAAATATTGAAACAGGAGGAATACATGAATTATAAGGCAATATTTAGCTACCTCGGGAATATTATGGATGACAAGTGTCGTACAATAGAAAAAAAAAAGGAATATAATTGAAAACATATACAATGAATTTACTGTATGAAAATCTATTAAATTAATTATCAGTACCTCGTGCCGATTTGAAGGTTAACAAATTGTAATATTATTCTTATTTCTTAAATCATTTCCTTGTATAAACCGATTCTATATGATCTTAATATAATTATAGATAACAAACTTACTTCTTATACACAAAAAAGATAAGGCGAGTACATGTATAGACATGCTGTTCATGGATAGAACGCGTTCCATTCACTGGAAAACTCAGTAATGATCTTGCATTACGAGTTTCATTTAAAATGTTTGCTATCAAATTCCATATATATCCATATCATCGCAGTTTCTTTCAAAATATTTAACAGAATTGCATTCGACTAGGTAAAATATATCGTCTAACTATAAATAAATATCACCTCCTGTACATTGAAGGACATTTACATAATGCCAAAAATAGATTTCTCGCCACCTGGGTCTATAGAAAAGGTAGCATTGTAGAAAATGGGTAGTTAGTTGATGATCATTTAGGAAAACGTATATCAGTGATAATATAATCTTGACAGGAAACCATAACAGGAATTGATCGAATTATACAATATATACAGCCACATAAGACAATTTTATGAAGAACTGAAAGACTATTGTAAGTATATCTTTTTAATGAAATTAATAAAGTTTTCGAACAACAGTTAATAATTTAAAAAAAAAGTCTACGGACAATTTACCTTGTCACACTTCGGATGAATTAGTGACGATATGATGGGTTTAACGCCGCCACGTTGTGACCCCTTAATTCAAACATGTTTTATTTCTTCAGATATGTAAAAGGGATGAAACAAAAAGTAATTAAACTCATTAAGTTTCTTCTCTTATTGATTAGTAGGGGGTCAGTATATATCATAGTGGTATCATGACGTCCCGTTTATTGTTATTGTATTTCATTGTATATTTTTATAAAAACGTGACAGGAAAAGTCATGCGTGCGATACATTCGTTATACGGTTCGCTACTGACCCCTACGGATCCATAGAGGGTAACTATCCATAGAAAATCTCAACCTTACAGATTTTACTAACCATCTATGGTTCCGTAGGGGGTCAGTTGCAAACCATATAACTTATCACCCCAAGCTTTTGGTGGGGTTCGTGTTGCTTAGTCTTAAGTTTTCTATGTTATATCTTGTGTACTATTATTTGTCTGTTTGTCTGTTTATTTTTTAGCCATGGCGTTGTCAGTTTATTTTCGATCTATGAGTTTGGCTGTCCCTCTGGTATCTTTCGCCCCTCTTTTATATTTGTTCTTAGTTTACTGCTCATAAAGGTTAAAATTGTTCTAAACACTGCGGTTTTTATGTCCAAAATCATAGATGGCGCTCGACAGATCTGATCTCAATTCACCTTACTGTTCAAACTTACTTATTTTATTTGTAACACATGAGAGCTTTTAATTCGAATAACGTATTTTTTTAACATCTTTTTAAGTTGCCAACAATTGATTTTTCTAAGGTAAGCAATACAATTATTGTAGACCCTTATGCAGTATATGAGTTATCTATTTTAAATGACAGTTTTAGATGTTATTTTTGGTACGAAAAATATCTTCACAAGTTGCATGATAAATGACATACAATCAAAAGTTTAATTCACATATTGTCGAGTCTAATTAATTATTCTATTTGAAATTGTACAACTTGACCAAGGTGATATCACACGACCTCATATAGAAGTAGGTCTAGAACTCATGCAATAAATACATAAATTGTCGTGCAATTCCAATAGTATGATAAATATTATCCAGATAACTATACTTAAGTTGAAAATAGAAAAAGTAAAATGCACTATTTTCATATCTAACGTGACTGTCTGTTATTAAAGTTAAAAGCACTTAAGAAAGTTTTTTGAATATTTGGCTACGCTGACACTGTATATTTCATATTCAATTGGACATGTGTAAAGTGATTATATTTATCAACGCTTGATTAGATAGAAATAAAAAATAAAAGTAAATATTTATAAAATACTAAGGTGACAAGTTAATTTGACTAGGTTATTCTTAATTTTTTTATCAGACAATCTTGATGTATTATTTTAATTCGTTCGTTCGGCTTAACAATTTAACAATTTAAATGTACGCTTGTGTAAAGATCTCCTTGGTTCATATGATATCGTAAAACTAAATACTTTATTTATGATCTTTCTGAGATTAGAGTATACGTGGGAAGGACATTTTTAGTATAAACATTTTAAACGTGTTAAAGAGAAGAAATATTTTTTATGTAGTGACATTTTTTTCTTCTTCTCAAAACGCAATTTGCGATTCTTTCACTTCCACGCTTAACATCTAAAACTCTTGATTGGTTGTTTTGATAGGAACACAAAGTATAGAACTTTTTTGGATTTCTGTATACCGTTTGAAATGAAGGTAAACATATGACTCGTCCCAACCGAATCAAATTAGTGTGATTATACAAAATATTCGCAATGTAACAAAACGATTACCTTGCAGTATTAAGATATATTGGAAATCACTGGATCCTTTATAAAACACTTCTATAGAGTAGAGAACAATATCATCGATATTTCATACGGTTAAAGTAAAGAATATGGCCAATTATATACCTACATGGAGTTATTTTCTTTCAGAACGACTGGTCATTCTTTTGAAAAATCAACCCGGACGATACCAAGTTTCAATGAAATTTGCTTCAAGGCATACAATAATGATCTGTATAAGGTCATTATTTTCTTGATTAAAATGCAAACTTTAATTTACTTAATCATTTTATTCGTTTGATATTCATCGTGTGTTGTTGCAAATTGAGGGCTTACATTTTTATTTTCCATATTTCTCAGGTTTAAGGCAGAAACAATCCTTTTCTCCGTTTATTGGACTGAAATACCAAACATTTCCGTTGACACACATTTTAACTTTCGAAACAAATAATGTGAAGTTTTGTTAGTTTATTACTACAATAAAGGAATAGTTTTTCATAAAACAAGCCAGATTTAACACATTCGTGTGTAGGATTTTGAAAATCTTATTTTTTCACATGATATTGGAAATCACACTTTGACCTATGGATACTCGTTTTTCGTGTTACATGTACATGTATCACGATTTCGTGCTCTCTTCATGTCAGTTCCTTTTTTGTACGTCTTTATATACCTTTTACTCTATCTAATGATCAAATGACCAAATATTCTTATTTTCTATAGAATAACACCCACGTACTTTAAAATTGGGAGGGGATATAATATTTTTAGTTTTATAAAAAAAAAAGTTGTATTACCAGACAAAAGAGAGAAAACAATTATTCTGATTTGTTCGTTTAAAAAAAATAATCAGCTTTCCGCGATTAAATGTCATGAAAAAAAAGCATCCCTCTTTCATAAACAAAGTTGATACAATAAATTACTTACGAAGTGACTTGTATTTTTCATACACCTAACAACTTATTTGTGTCTTGCTGCATGCAATTACAGTAATATTTCTATTGAAACTGTACAATGATATGACTTATGTTTCAACATGTAAAGTTTTTTCTTCATACTTATCATTATCTGAGTAAAAAAGTCACGTTAATTTGTAGGTTAAAACATTATAAGCTCCCGAGTTACGACTTTTTGCCGATATGTGAATCCACTAAACTAGACACAAATATTTTGTCGGAAAAAGTCCAGCACTCCATTGATATCTGCTTCTATTTATTTGGTGTTTGAATTAGTAAGGTTCTTCATAAAGTAAGATTACGTGAGAAGAAACAAGAAGTTCAGATCGATATGTAAAGACAGCAATGTTCACGGAGATACAATCTTTTAATCGAGCACAGGACATGTCATGTGCAGTTAGGATTTAAACTGTTCAATCATGCATTCAGATGAAATCGATGAAGGTGGGGTTCCAAGATTTGCTTTGAATTCCAACGTCTTTCTCTTAAAAATGTTTCAAGATTGTCTAATTGAACAACATAATAATTTTCGCGACGAGATACAAGAGCAGCTACAAGCTTTCAACTCTCTTAGTTTTTCATTGATAACAATGGCAAGCTCTGTGGTTATAACATGACTAGCAGTTTTATTTTTGTAATAGGACGATGCACATAAAAAATCATAATATTTGGATTTTCTTCCTTAAAAAAGTAAAATAACAAAAATACCGAACTCCAAGGGAAATTTAAAACGGAAAGTCCTTTATAACATGGCAAAATCAAAAGCTCCAACACATCTATGAATGGAAAAAAAATTCTCAACTACATTGTTGCGAATTAAAATGTGGAATGCAATTGTAAACTGATTTCAATTATCATGTTTCAGACGGAGATGGAGTATACTCTTTTACTGTTTGTTGTGGCAAAAATTTATTCTGTTGAAAGCGGTAAGTATTATTGCGAAAAGTAAAAAATACTGAAAGGCAAACACAGATATAGCAAAACAACAATAACACCTACAAATAGTGATAACATACACACACACACTAAAGTTTATTCCACCATGTTCTATGCATATTCGGGACCAGAACATATTACTCAAATATCAAATACATCTGACATCTTACTAACCCACACATTTATATGATTTTAGTATGCATGGTACTAGCTTCAAAAAATGAAAAAAAGATATTATTATATCCAGACAAGTTTAATGTCCAGGAGCCATGTAGAGTACGATCATGCTGCTATAGATCCGTGCTTGGAAGGGCAAAAATATATACCAAATGTGATTCTTTTTGCAAAAGCAGGGATTGGTAGTTTTAAAAAGTTTTGTTTTTTTAATCAATATTCCAGATTGTTGGTGATATTTGAAGTACAGGTTTTAAATTTAGCTCTTGTACATATGATAAAAATATTTGTCAGAATATAGGAACGGACGGCTGGCGTCAACATCAGGATACTTAATCACAGATCTTAAATGTTGAGTAATGTTATAAACGCTGGGGATAATTTCTTGACGTATAAAAGAAAAATTTTGAAGCCTGCAAGATGAAATTTTATTTGTAAATGTTATTTTTCTATTTTATTCATAACATAACGCAATATTAAAGCTTGTGGAATTTTGCTGAACAAATAGAATACTCTGTTAACTGTACCAATAACATTATCCTATTTTACACCAGACTTGCCTGCCCAGCGCATAAAACAATTTTTAAGAGACCTTATTTATTACCGTATCGACTGTTCTCTGAGTTATCTTAGGTAGGGGAGATTAGTTAAGAACCAACAATCAATAAGTAATAAAAGCAGAACATATAATTTATTTTTTTCGTTCAATATTTTGAACGGATTTAGCTTTGCTGTTTTTGTTTCACGTAATGACAAGTGAACCGACTGCGTTATCAAAAGTTATGATATGTTGAGGCCTGTCAATTTGACTGACAGAATTTTGATATAGACGAAACGACAAATCAATTAATTCTCTACTCAAATTTTGAAATATGTTAGCATCACATTCTGATCGATTAAGTATTTGCATAGGATCATTATTCATCTCACCATTTTGATTATGCATATGCACAGGCACTGATATGTATACTTATGCAAATTGTGACTGCACGTTCAATGCTGGTTTTGCAGTCCCTTGCTAGTGATGTTGTCCTTAAAATTGCATAGGAGCCTGGACTTGTACAGGAAAATATTTCACCTGCGGCTACCGAAATCTGTTGAATTTTAGGATCCTTATTTGCCGATAACAAACGCATAAAATAACATGCAATTTTTGTAATGTTGACAGCAAATGTTGCCTTTAATAGGCGTGTTTTTGAAGAAACTGTTTCTACTTGAAACGTCCTATTTATTTATGTAATGCAAACTAATGGAAAACTTTTAAAAGAATAAAAATACGCTTTTTATATCTTTAATATTTAAGTTCTGCTTGATAAAAGAGGCATCTTACAAAAGGGGCATATCAAAATAAGAGGACTACGCTGTTCTTATATATATTACATTTGAATTTACACTCGAAGATGGTATGATTTGGAACATGTCTTGTATTCAATCACACCTGAAAGCAGAGGGAAGCGAGAACTAAGCATTTCAACATATGCGATGATTTAAAATTTTCATGTTTATACTACCTATTTCCCCGTGGGGCTGACTTTAAAACAAAAGTACTAAACTTAGAACATTTGATGATGTGATACTTTTAAATGTATACAGCAAATGTTATTTAGTCTAATGGGTAAAACTATCCATGTTATATATTTAACCATGTTTATTGCAAAAAGGACACAACAGTCAGATGTTCCAAAAGTAGGAATTGATTTGTCGAGGTGAGGAAATTAGGCCAAGGACAAAACATTAAATAAACGATATTTTCAAAGAATTAACCGTAATAACTCATTTGACAACGTTATGGCTACTTCATAAAACATTATATACAATTGCTAAGAAATATACTTCTTTACACCACATTTAGACAGCAAGTTATGTCTCACGCAGATACAGCTTCAACTTCTCTAATTTCAAACCCATTCGTTGCTTTTAAAACAAAACTACTGACTGATCGCATCTTTTATTGAAGAATTTCTTTATTTTTGAAAAGGAAAAAAAAAAAAGATTATGCTTAAAAAAAAAACACGAAAAAAAACCCCAAAATAAATATAAATTTCGCTACAACATGCAATATATCTAAAGCCATCTCGATACGAATGTCTTTGTTTCTATGTAAAAAAAAGGACGACAGATACCAGAGGGACCAGAGGTTGAGGTTAACGGCAAAACTTTAAACTGAGACGAATTTGACATCTTGTGACCTGCTTACTTCTATAGATTCTGCATTAAATTTTATGTGATTTTCGTTATAAATGTGTATTTTGAGTCTCATCATATTATGTGTTTTATATACCCATTATTTCCTTCAGAATCCCATCAACAATTTCTTGCTAATAGTTTTGTACTAGAAACGCGTGTTTTTTTCTATACAAGACTCATTAGATGCACTCGAATCAAAACAATTTTCGTCAAACATATCTGGGAACTTAAAACGATAAATTCCAAAACATATAAAAAATCTTGCTAAGCCCACCTATGCATGTGGAAAAAAAACCTTAGTTTTTCCAATAATATAAAATTTTATGAAAATCAAACTAACAAAATAACATCATGTAAGCACAGCAGTTGCCTCAACCCATTGGTTGATAGAATTCATAAACGATACCAGGATTAACGCTTTGTCTTTGAGCTCACCTTTATTTAAGGTACTTCTTAAAACATTTCTTAAAGTGCAAAACTAATAAACACCTTTTCTTGTCTTGTAATTGCTACAATTTGTATTATGAAGTTATCAAGTGCTGCTCAAGAAAGATAATAATCACAATAACAAAAACATCTCAATAATCGTTTTAGGTTTACCACCTGATATATTCCTTAAAGGAAAGTCCTTCACCAACAATAATGCAACAGTGTTTCAATTTATTTGCTCAACCAACATCGCCGTTTGGCCGTGTTCCGTAGAGTTTCTAATAGAGAACAGGACACATAATGATATTCGATATGTTGATGACACGTGTTACCATACATATGGGATATGCACTCCAAATATGTGCGCATGTTCTGATAGCTGCAAATCATTCACCTGGAATGTTACAGTAGTAGAAGAAATGAAGAACCGTTCATATAGTTGTGTTACTAGAATGGTTACAGGGGAAGTAAAGTTTTTAGCAAATATAACTGTCAAATGGGACGGCAAGGATGGTAAGCATTAATATTTGTTTTCCAATTTAACAATATTCTTACAACTTTGAAATAAATCTGACTTCTACAAATCTGAACTATATTTTGAGAGGAACTTAAATAATAGCATTATAAGAGCACTATTATTTACCAATTTAGGGGAGATTACTCAGTAATTTGTTATCATTAATTCTAATCAAAAGTTAACGAGAGATTTCTTGAATAACCACACATGCAGAAACGAAAGACCTACCATTTCTAACTCAGCACAAAGGTAACTTCCAAATAAGATGGTTAGGTTTTTTTCGGCCATGTTTTGAAATTTTTATAAATTGCCCGATTCTTACAAAGATTGGCCCTTAAAATGAAACAGTACAAAAAGGGCCACTACAATAATAGTTTGATAAAATTTGATCTGTTAGTAGAAAGTAAACAAAATTAAGTTAAGTTTTTTTATCTGGTTATCGATGTTGATTTGATATATATTTCATATAACACAGTTGTATTTGTCTCTCAATTAAACGTTTCTAGATTTTGAACGAAAGTTTAGGGAAAGTAAATAAAAGCCGACTCCCTCCTTGGTGTCTATCTAATCAGTGACAACGCCTTCCCTTTTCTTTATTTAGTTTTTCTAAACCGTTTTATTGGGTAAAATTTTCAAAAATACGAGTAACATTTTGTTGAAAAACTGAATTGAAATTCTTTGTAAGCTTGTATATCAAGCTATTGATTTTACGTGCCACTTATTATTTTTTTGTAAGGTTAGCACCACGCTTCTCTGATATTCATGGAATTGACATGATCAATGTTACATAAAATAGACGACGTTATTGTTTCTTTTGTGATACACAAATCTTAAAATTGGAAATGGTGTATTTATTTGTAGATATGAATGGGTCATAATTTTCCACAAAAGCCTGAATTTTTTTCAATGAATTTGAAATGTATGCACTTATTTACTGCTTAACATCATTATTTTGATTATATACATAAATATACAAAATCCCGCTTGAACGAAATTTAGTATAAACTGTGGTCCGATTTATGCTTCTCAAACACTTCAACTTCAACGGCTTTAAGATTAGTCTTTTTGATTCTCACGTTTTTGGTATATATATACAGGACAAAAGTCAAATGAAATCATAAGAAAATAAACACACAGCACTGCTTCTGCTGGGATGTTTTCAACAATGAAGTCAATAGAATATTGTACAAAGAGTAATCTCAAGACGACTGATCTCTTTTGCTTTTTCTTTTGCCAATTTTCCTTTTTGTTCTATTGCATATTTAGAAAGTATCAGATCAAGTTGTCAAGCTCATGATTGTGGTAGCATGTTAAACTTTTAAAACGATTTATATTGTACGAAATAGTTTTTGTCTTAATTTAAGGCCCTTTATATTTTCAACATAAATCAATGACTGATATTAATATTTAAGCAAAGTTCGGTCCTCGCTTATATACTAATCTGCTTAAACATTTTTGTGAATCTCCTTTTGCACCCACAAGAAGGGTTTAGCGGATACGTTTGTAAGGATGTATATCTCAGACAAATAAATGTTAGAAAATTTGTACTTGTTAAAAATGTGGTTGATGATAGGTATGTTTGAATAAAAAGAAACAAAATAAAGCTAAACAATCTAAATGTTGTTTTGGTAATAACTTATCATGGTTTCACAATGACCAAACAGTAGGAAATCCAGTGAACGAAGACAATAACAAAATCATTCTTCTTATAAAAAAGTCGAGAAAATCAATAATAAAACCATGCTTTTGACGGTACTGATCTAAAGTTAGTTCTAAACGACAATTGTACATTTTAAAGAAAATATTTGTTAAACTGTGTTTTTAGAAATATACATGGAAATACACGATGTTTTATATTCAGTATTTATCCAAAGAATTGCATTAGAATCTTGGGAAACTGAAATCTAAAAAATGCCAATCTTTGATGCATTTGGATAAAAAAAAATGGAAATATCATGGAAATCGAAAGATTTTTCGGGTCACCAATGTTCAGGGTGTTCAACAAAGTCCTAAGCATGTTACAATTTCCCAAACTATATTTATTTTTCACATCTAAGTTTTTGAGTACACCGGACTCCTCTTGTCACGTGAACATTCAATATAGAAATATTGTATTTTCGGGAATGTTACAATTTTAAAGTCTGTACGTGCAGGATAAAAAATTAAAGATAAATATTTTTATAAAGTAGGCTTTTTGTACTATTTCCGGTCTCCTTGATTTATTCACATTCAATGTTAACATCGGGATTCAGTTCATTTTAATTTGCATAGTAACTTAATTTCAAAAGTGCCAATCATTGCTGCATATCAATAGTTTTCTTTGGAATGTTTCCCTGAACTTCTTTGATCAAGCTGTATATATATACGGATAATTAGCATGTTCCAGAGAAATTTACAGCCAGTAGAGAAATTAATTAAAGTTGGTACTCCAGTAATTTTTTCTCATAACAACATTTAAACCCATTTCACATCAAGCTCCTATAGCCAGCTGTATTCATCGTTTGCTATTTAAGGAGAGAAATGATAACATGAAATGGAAGTTTTGTTCTTATTTCAACTTATTTCTTATTACAACCCAAAAAGAGTAACATATTTAACATGCCATGTTTTATTTCAAATTTTTAACAGAAGCTCATATATAACATTTCCTGTGTACTTTATGCTTCCAATGCCATATATTGTGTTTTGAACATAACATTTGCTTCATATCATTTCGTGTATTTTTAATTGTCTTAGGATTTCAAACCTTTAAGAAGATTGTTGTTCCTACCAATATTGTGATTCAACAGTCAACTACTCCAAAATCAGAGTCTGGTAAGAATATTACATATAAGATAACACTTATGTAGATATGAGGTAGAGAGGATAGGTAAAGAAAGTCAACACTCATGAATTAACAAAGTATTTGACAGTTTTTTAATAAAGTCTTAAGTCAGCTTATATCAATAAATTTGTTTTCTGCGAATATCAGTTCTGTTTTAGCGGTTTAGTAAATACGACGAAAATGACTTTAATCTCAGTAACAAAAGAGAATAACAATCGTAGTAACATACTTAAATATTATTTTATTTGCATTTTTTTCAGTTCAATTAATCATCATATCAACTACAGTTGGATCAGTAACATGCATGTTTACATTAATTGTGTTGTCTTTAACTTGCCGGAAGATATGCCGTTCGAAGCGACACGAAGGTAAAATATAAATTAAGCCGAAAGTAGTTTACCGCAGTTTAGATCTCGTAGATGGATCAAGAAAAGACAAATCAATGTAACTTACAAACACTTAATGAAATGCAAGCATTCTTAAAGGAGCGAGACCAGGTGCATTGATAGGGTAAGCGTTTCCTGATACATGTATGCTTACAGCTCTCGCCATGCGTATTTAAAATAAATAGTAATTAATTCAAGGTCCGCAAAATGAAAGACATTTGAATTGCAGTAAATAAGTGTTTGCGAAATATACAATACCAACCTAATTTAAGGAAGGAGTATGAAACATACCGATATTCTACAGAAACCATGAAAATCGTTTAAGAGGATTAATAGTTTTGAAGATTCTGTGACCTCTTTGTACATTATTCGATAACTCATGTTTAATGATTTTGTTTGAATTGCCAAATAAACATGATCATAACGATATAGACTTCACGAAACCTACATTTTTAGTAAGTTGTTTTTTTTTAAAAGATTTTTGTATTTTTTCACGACTACACTTTATTTTTGAAGAATGCCAATAGCGAATAAACACAAGATCTTGCATAATTTGCATGACTAATTCTCATGTAATAAACCCGTCTGCGTATCTTTATTTAATAATGTTTTAAGGCACTAAATTGATATGTACTCATACATGAAAATCAATACCAAAAACAGATGTTTCGAAAATAAAGCGGAAAACATTTTGAATGTCTTATCTTATGTCAAGAATATATACCCCTATATTTAAGGGGCACCAGCTATAATATATATAAAAAAATAAAATATGATTTTGTTTTGTTCAGTTATTAATGAAAGTGAAATGGTGAAATAATAATTCGCTTTTAGTATCCAGTTTGGTTCAATTTTGTCAAAATAAGCTAAGAAACATTGCTGATGAATTATTCACTTGCAAGTGAATAATTTGACCTCATTCAATCAGTATTCATGTGACCTTCAATTCAACCCCTTAGCTAGAGATAGGTTACGCATTTATTAGGCGTGTTCAGTTATTAAAATGAAAAGAATGTCAACATTGAAAGTGAACCTAGGGTAAACCATTTGATTGACTGATTCGGTCCACAAAAACTCATTCTTATACAGGTGAAAACGATGATTAACATATATATTTAACCTATAATATGAAATCAAACAGACCTAGAAAAATCCAATTGCACGAGTACGCTATCTATTTCTATCCATATTAATGTTTATATCGGGTTATATGACCGTCGGCAGTCTTCGGAGGTCACTACGATAATTAATTAGATGACATCTAGACTAAAATACACAGGAAATGTTGACACATATTATCGAGCCTATGCATTGTAAATTGTTTATTTTTAGACTTTCTATAAATTGGATATACGTGTTAGAATGTTATAAATCAAATATGAGAATTTGAGTCCAATCATTGAACATGAATTTGACAGCTAGTGCCCCTATAACAAGCCTTTGTTATCCGCAAACAATTGATGGATTTTTATTCCAAAAGGAAATCGGTACACGAGTTAATACTAAGAGTGTACTTCTGTCAATCGATTGTTTTGTTTTCTGTTTGAACCTATAAAAGCTATTGAACCTTAAGGATATTAACCATTTGTGAACGTAACAAGAAGATCTGCTTTATATCTTGATCCGTTTCAACATATCCACAAAGATGGAAGATTATGGCAAACGTAATGAATTCAACTGCCAACTTCAAATTCGTCCTCATTAACATACATTCTGTCTTTTCGTAAGAAGTTTACATATCTTAATCAATACGTTACGCTATGGCATGTTAATAATATGAAGTCTAAATTAACAGTGATGTGCTCCTTAACCAAAAACTGATCCAACTGAGTTAAGTGATAAAACGACTGAAATCGACACTACATAACTTGTGGGGTCACCATCTTGAAAGGATAACCGATACGATGTTTTGTATCTCGACTTGCTGGCAACATGTTATTTGTTGTCTAAGCTATTTAGATACTAGAAAGTTGTCTGTTGAATTTGCTGATTGCATGCAAGAAGACCGTTAAACTTTTGACAAATAAACAGGAGTGTATGCTATTCCTTTCATTTTTATAACTTTATCTGTATCTTCTAAAAACAATTATGATACTTGAATGTCGATAAACAACTGTTGATTCCAATTAACAACTCATTTGTCTCTGTGAACTTGAAATTCATAAAATATAGAGACAAAAAAGACACATTTATATCGAACTATCATTCTTAAAAATATAGATTAAACTTATCATAAATGAGCAGCAGCATATCATCTGCTATCGAATGACGCTTTAGCGATACAAAATTGTTAAGCTTCGTATCAGTATTGCAATTCATTTAAATCGGTATGATACAAATGATTTTGCAGTTGATGAGAAAGAAGCGTTTTATTATGCCTTGAAAAAAATCTTCGATTCACATTATGTATTACTTTTAACTGACATATACTATCTACAAGTACTTAAGTTCAGGAAGTCGTTCCTTACGGTGAAGTTTACATTTGGAATATTTTATTCAGGTTCGTTTATCAATTATGATCTCGAACGTTTTACATTGATTTATCAAAAAAAAAAAAAAAAACAAAACAAAAGAATGTTGAAGTCAAGGGTACTTAGGGAACAGAAAATAAGGTAATGTGATATACTTGCCATTGAGACAATCCAAATAAGGTCATCAATAGTATGATGGAGTGCGGAAACTGAAAGAAGTTACAAGTAGAAATTTAAACAATAAAAATTGTATAATAACAATGTAAATATTGACACATAAATCATATAAAACGATTTTACTATTTCTCAATTTCTTAATACACAAATTTCATTTCTATTTTTAAAACCACGAAACGATAAAACAATGTTTTAATTTATTTTGAAGGTTTTGATTGTTTCCTTTTTGCCTTTTTACACTTAATACCGTCAATGATTTATATATAGGTTAATCAAATATTTAATTTTTATTCCAGAAACACCTGTTGTAGACACAAAAATCAATTGATATTGATATCATAGATCCGTAAATTCTACAAACAAAATATAAAACATTATCATTCATTATTAAAAAATATTGGTGCAATTAACTTCACCAATAATGAAACAATAAACACAACGCCTTGTCCAATTAGCATTTCTTGGTATAAACACAACAAGTGGTCGGTGTTACTAACGCACACACATCAGTCGTATTCTTTCTAGACCATTACGAAAAGTTGAAACACCCAACAAAAAACACAAAAAGGAAACGGCATAAAGTTTAGATAAGTTCTGAATATTCTTGCTACTATATATATCTTTGTTAAGAAGGTGATACCGGCTGAAGGCTGAATACTTCAGAATATTATAGGGCTTTTGTCCTTGCGTAAATCGTATTATAATACTACCCTAAATTCCACAGTCATATTACTATCCACCGTCATAATCCTACAATGAATGCAATTAGACAATAGCAAAAATATCAAAGACACTTCTTTATAAAGGAATTCATACACAATGGAAGGGTTATTTATTATCAGTTGTATTTTTAAAGTGTAAATTCCTTTTCATTTTCTATCATTTTGTTTTAAATAACTAAAGATGTTACATATTTTTTCAGCAACACTAGGCATCATGAATGAGATTCCAATCTATCAGATTCCAGATCAACTCAATTGTTCAGGTTAGTTATTGCGTCGAGTTTTGAAAGTGAAATAGAATAACAATATTTCCTGTTTTATATCCACACCGGCTTGTGTCCCGTATGTAGATATTGCGATGTTATAAAAACAGTGTTTTCATGTAATGTCCTGAGCCGTCACCTGCCTCCAGTGGAAAGTAACGTTACCTATTACAATAAGTAGGATTCCTGACCCTCACCTGATTTGTGGAGGGACGCATACTTTTCATTGACTAAAAAATTATTTACGATGGTATGTTTCGAAAAATATACCAAAGGGACATTCAAACTTATAAGTCGAAAATAAACTGACAACGCCATGACAAAAAATGAAGAACAGAAAAGACAAATAACAGTACACAAAACACATCATAGAAAACACAAGACTGACCAACATGAACCCCAACAAAAATCCTGGGCAATCTCAGGTTCTCCGGACAGGTTAGCAGATCCTACTCCACATGTTGCACCCGTCAGGTTGGTCATGTAAGTATTCGGTAGGTCACGTTTGGGTTTAAGAGGATTAGAATGTGTTTACGACAATTGAAACATATCGGTCATCATTTTAGAAACAGTTATTCCATAACGGCTAACCAGTTCATAATGGCGTCCGTAAAATTTACAAAGAGAGGATATTTCAACTTCACCACTTAGGACTTCTTGTTTAATAGCTTCCTTGTGAGCATCAAACCTCTATTAAAAAAATCATGATATGATATACAAGCCCTGGAATATTGTATCAACCAGGATATATAAACTTCATATGCAGACGATGCTGGAATGTTGCTCCATAGAAATGTAAAGTTCACAATTGCGAAGCCGAAGATTTTTTTTTAACCTATCCACATTGTCAATTTCTAGATGTAAGTCAAGATAGGAGGCAGATTTAGCTGTATCTGTTGTCACCAATGTATTTAGTTATAGAACATTACTGTGAATGTGAATAATATACTTATTATGATATTTAAGTGCAAATATAAAATATAGTATTGGAAAAGTGTATTAACAAACATTCCGAAATCCAATGAAAATATAAAAAAGGGGAAGTCCATAAAAACTGACTAAACCAAAAGCTCGACTATATCAACGAACAAAACGAATGGAAAGAAATTGTCATATTTTTGACGTGGCAAAGGTATTTACCGAAGAAAATGGTGAGTTAAACCTGTTTTATAGCTAGTTAACGCTCCAACTTGGATGACATAAAATTGAGAACGGAAATGAGGAATGTGTCAAAGAGACAACAATCCGACCAAAGCAGAAAATAGCCGAAGGCTTCCAATGGGTCTTCAACACAGCGAGAAAATCCCGCACCCAAAGGCGGGCTTCAGCTGGCCCCTAAACAAAAATGTGTACTAGTTCAGTGAAAATGGACGTCACACTTAACTCCAAAACATAAAAACGAACTAAAATTAAAAAACATACAAGATTAACAATTGCCAGAGGCTCCTGACTTGAGACAGGCGCAAAAATGCTGTGGTGTTAAAAATGTTTTACGAGATCTAAACCCTCCCCTATACCTTTAGCCAATGTAGAATAAATAAACACACAGCAATATGCACAGTAAAACTCAGTTTAAAAGAAGTCCGAGTCCGATGTCAGAATAGGTAACAAAAGAAACAAAGCAAAATGACAATGATACACAAATTAACAAAGGACTACTAGCAGTTACTGACATGTCAACTCAAGACCTCAATTAAAATGATTAAAAGATTATGTCTTCGTTATATGAAAATCAAGCACAATCCCTCCCGTTAGGGGTTTAGTATCATAACATCATACAATATATGAGAAGAACATAACCCGTATCATGCGAACAACTGGTTTTAGAATACATGTGTTTATTTCCAATGCAAAGACCAAATGAGTGAATCAATACCAAAATATGCCATCTTTAATGACCTGACAACAGTATCGGAACTATATCCCTTTTGAATAAGTCTGTTTAAAGGTTTGGTTAGCTTTTGAGGTGAATTTCGACATTTTTGTGCTTTGTATAGAATATTACAATAAACGATTGGATGTGAAATACCTGAACGTATATGATGTCTGCATGTTGATTCATATTTACGAATGGTGTCCTTGTAGCGATGATAAACTTTAGTAAATGTTTTGATGAATCCCTGGTGTAATAATTTTCAGTAATACAGAGATTTCTTTCGTTAAAATCAAATATGATGTTACATACACGATCGAATCGAACAAGTTGAGATATAAAACCATAAGATGGTCACCATCTAAAAATGGACAATTAACAATAGGAAATGAAAAATCATCTTTATTATCATAAATGTTGGCATCAAGCTTGTTAAAGATATAGATATCAAGATCCAGGAAAGGGTAGTGTTCATTGTTAGTATTAGCTTTATTTAAAGTCAGTTCAACATGTTAAATCTCATTAGTGTACATACTGAAGTCATCATTATTGAGAACCATTATATCATCCAAATATCTAAAAGTGTTATAAATTTTTGTATCAGATGTTGTTTTGATGGGTGTTTGCTGATTGAAATAATAAATTGTAACTCATAACAATACAGAAACAGGTCCGCAATAAGTGGTTCACAGTTAATCCCCATTGGAATTCCGATAACTTGACGATATACGGAATCTCCATAGCGAACAAAAATGTTATCTAGTAAAATTCAAGGACAGATATGGTATCAAAGCAGGTCCAATTGACATAGTTCTTTTGTATGTTGTTACTAAAAAATGACCAAAAAGAGTTTGAACATATAAAAATGTATTCGCATTCTGACTTTTTAAATGCCCATTTATTAGGTGTGTGAATTTTTTATAGTTCTTTATAGTTTCGTTATATTGACGTAATTGGATGAAAAACACTAACAGTTTTAATTGGTGTTCGTTACAATACATACAAACAAATCTGACAAAGATGCCAGCAAACAGAACTGTGTTGCTAATATCAAAAGTAGTATCCTCAAACGAAATGAAATATACTTTTCCAAAAAAAGCAGTGACATAATAAAAACAATACTTTAAAAACCTCATGCGTCTGAATCATACATCTAACCTTTAAGAACAGCTGTAGCTGGTAGTATATCATACATTTACATAGTTACGTAAGAAAATAATATTTTGAAAATATTGCTTATCACACACCTTTTTGGCACAACTAATCCATCATAAACAATTCATCTGTATGTCAAAATATATTTTAAAAAAAAATCTTAAGATATTATGATTTAAAAAAAAAATCAATCCCGAGAAGTGATTTTCGTTAATTTTTTTTTAGAATACTTCCCTTTTTGCCATTGTTCTTTTTTATCGACATAAATTCTCATCAAAATACGTAAATTTAACGAACAGATTTTTAAATATCTACAATCTATGGTGAGAAAAATATTTAAAAACATTAAGCTTTTCATGGAGATAATTAAAAAACAACAAGAATACCTGTAGCCATTTGGAACATTACCAGCTAATACAATTTGTATATTTCATTATTTTCTTTGCTAAGAATAGAAAAATTAAGTAATTAGGTAATCTTATTTTCCAATTTTTTAAACGTAATGCAATATGATATATAACTTTACAGGACCTGCTCCTTCAAACAGTTATATTCCGAATCCAAAGCACACTCCAGGTAAGTGATATTGTATAAAAATATTTTAATTTTCGAAACTGTAAGAATGTATGTCAGATTAATAATGTTTATTTTGATTCATATGTAGACAAAACGTACATACGACGGACCAATATATAAGCCTAGTATCTTTAACGATATTTATAATACCAATGGGTTGATACCACTGCTGGTGGACGTTTTACACCGAATGTATCGCCAGCTAGTAAACACTCCAGTGTAAACATGACATTAAGTGTTCCTTTCTGTTAATCTACGTTTATAAACAGTTGAAATATTCCAAAAACTAAGGATTTTCTATCTCCAAGTTTTGGCACACTCTTTCGGAATTTGTTGTTATAAATGCTCTTCAACTTTGAATTAAGTTAGATGTTTGTTGCCTCAACCATATTTACACAGGAAATGTTAAGCAAGTGTTTCGCAATTAATTTCTTGTATTAGCTGAATTAAATGATAAAAGCTTAGATCAAATCTGTTCTATTTTATGTTGATGTAAATGCTGAATTATGTAAAACCATCATTTTACCTTTTTTAAGGAGTTTACATTTTAACCATAGACTAGTGTCTGTATAATATGTCAACCTTTTGATCGCCTTGAGTCCTTAAAAGGAATAAATAATGATTTTAATGTATAAGATATAAAAAAACAATATAAACAGCAATATTGAATAGCGCAACGTCGACTATACACATAATCAGTACCCGAATCCTACTTGAATATATATGTACAAACATTATAAATAAACAACGGCACCAACCATGGTGAGGTCAAAAGAAGTTTTAATACATACGCACAGCATCCCCTTTTCTGGATGTAAATTTAGCGTAAATGCAAAACAAAGAATAAAAGTTCCTTTAGCTTTGAACTTATTTCACATGAAACATTGAACTGCAAATCAGAACTCTATTGTCTAGAAATTATTCGTAATGCAACAACAAATGATTTATTGCAGCTTCATTTTTATCACGGAAAGTAACATTCTTCACTCATAAAGGTACAGAAGATTAGTGAATCAATATTAATACCAAAATATGCCATCTTTAATGACCTGACAACAGTATCTTTCATTTTTTTCCTATATATTTTAATGTGATATAAATTTTTGTAGCACCACAAGGCAGTAGGAATGCGCCTTTTAACGGCAATATTCCTGAACAAAAGCAGAATCCAGGTAAATAATATAGACATATGTTAAGTTTTGAAAAGGAAAACAAAGTATGAGAGTATACCAATGCCTGGTTTCCGCCAATGAAAAGTCTCTCGATACGGATGTTTGACGTACCAAATCAAAAGCCTGGTAATTTCGATGAGTTTTTACAGAAACTGGGTCAATCCCGCTGCTTGTGGTTTTTTCGTCTCTGGTGGTATCACCAGTCCAATAGTAAACACTATTGTAAAGCCATGAAATATCAAAGTTATTGTGAAACTACCTATTCTATAGGTGGCGTGAATCAGATGTGGATACTAAAAAAATTAAAATATCTTTTACAGTATATACAATCTAAAACTCTGTCATCTTGCAATAGTATTAAAACATTTGACTTTTATACACTTTACACAAGTATTCTCTATTCCAAACTAAAAGACAAATTGAAAGAGTTGGTCCTGCTTTGTTTCAAAAATAGAATGGCCAACGTAGAAACAAGTATCTTGTCTTAGAGAGGGATAAATCCTACTTTGTAAAAAATCACTCTGATTAAAACAGCAAATTTTCTCAAACTGACATTATCAAGATGCTTGGTTTCTTAATTGACAACATATTTGTTAAGTTATGAGGACGTGTTTTTCCGATGGGAACAAACTGTGCCCCTCTTCTTGCCGACTTGTTCCTTTATTCATATGAGGCTGACTTCATACACGAACTTCATAGGAAGAAAGAAATGAAGTTAACAGTATCCTTTAACTTTACATTCCGCTATATAGATGGTGTTCTCTCACTAAATAATTTAAAATTTGGTGAACGCATTTATCCCATCGGGATAAAGGATACATCATATACAGTAAAGTCTATCTCATATCTGGAAATACATCTAGAAATTGACAATGAAGTTCGATTGAAAACAAACTTTACGACAACAGAGATGATTTCAGCTTCCAATTGTGAACATTCCATTTTTAACATTCCAGCAGCGCCTGCATACGGAGTATATCTAGTTACAATCATCCCTTCGTAAATTTTACGGACGCCATCACGAGTTGGTTGACCGTTATGGAATATCCGTTTCTCAGATGATAGCGGATATGTCCTTAATGTCGTAACTACAATTTCGCCTCCTTTTCCCGAATATGACCTACTGAATTAGACTCATTACCGGGTTGTACTAACATGAGCAACACGACGGGTGCCTCATGTGGAGCAGGATCTGCTTACCCTTTCGGAGCACCCCAAGTTTTTGGTTGGGTTCGTGTTGCTCAGTCTTTAGTTTTTCTATATTGTGTTTTGTGTGCTTTTGTTTGTCTTTTTTGTTTTAAGCCATGGCGTTGTCAGTTTGTTTTCGACTTATGAGTTTGAATGTCCCTCTGGTATCTTTCGTCTCTCTTTGATATGATAATATTGGACATTTACTGTTTTCTAAAATGTTCAATTATTTACATCACTAGGTACAACTTACCGTAGCAGATGTTTAATACCTTTTCTGAAAGTTTGGTTTAAATGCTCTTCAGTGTCGAATTTGATTTAGTCGTTAGTCAAACTATTTTGATTGTAATGCCATTAGCTAGTGAAGTGTGGCACTGTTGAATTTATTTTCTGAAAGTTGTTTCTTGTTGAAAGTTAGAGACAAATTAAGAAATCAATTTACATTCAAATCTGTGCAAACGACTGAAAATATCATATGGAACTTAAGTCAAATATTCAGCGGGGTTATACGATGGTGTTTGGGAAATATCGTGCAATTAAGTAATCACCAAACCTTCAAACAAGGTATATATCTCTCTGTATTCAGCAAATAACTCAATCCCCCGGTACTTAATATAACAGTATATCTGAGACTAATACATTTTAGTTTCAGCAATAGAAAATTTGTTAAACTCTAAATTATCCGCCTGTAGAAAAGTTGCATTGAACAGTTTTAGGGAGTTGCATTAAAGAACGAACATCATTTTAATCAATAATCATTTCACAATGAATATTTTGTTTTTAATAATAAAAAAAAAACAACAAATTTTTTAATCAGTATTGTTTTAATTGTCGTTAACTGTAAACATATTTTTTAACCTAAAAGATAAAGATTGGGCAACTATTACTTATCCCAGTTATATCTAGTTTTCCCGATTTCGGACATGGACGTAGCATTTGTACATTTTATTTTAGAGAGGGAATTTCTACACCTTGTTTTAAGTGTGATTAATTGAATTATTAATTTTGCTTACCAGAATGAGCAATAACAAAAGGTTAACCTATAGCTTAGAGTCATTTTCAATGTATTATGCACAAACGATCTAAAGGATAACGTTTCGTTACGGCTTAACATCATCCAGAACTTAAAAATGCTCTCCGGACACTGTATAACCATTGTATGTGTGCAAACCTGTCCAATATGTTAAATCAGCGGATGGTATTTGCGTCAGTGATACATATGGTAGAATGCGACTAAGTTGTGTTAGAAATATTTTTCTTCTTTCTTGACTTAAACATGAAGTAGTGATCGTATTGCACGTTTATATATTTTGTAAACTTGTCCTTTCAATTTTCCGTAGAAAATGATTAATCTCTATTTTCTGTTTGCTCTTAGCAATAGTTATATGAAAATATCATTACAAAGGGTATACATACAGATAACAGGAAATTTATGAAGTCCCGTGCACATATTCTTAAAAAGGTCGCACTCAATGTACTATATGTGGAAATGCATATATCTCAAACAGCAAAACATATACTGCATAGCAATAATATTAAAATGAAATGAAAATATGTAGATTCAATCATGACAAGTGCAGACGAGCCATCCCTAGTTGAAATGAGAAAAAAAATCTTCATACCAGTATAGTCGTTATAAAAGTTCTGCCCCCAAAACATGTTTTATCCCGCCTCATTCTTCATGTGCTTGTCCCTAATCAGGAGCCTGTGATTCAGAGGTTGTAGAGGTTTTCTTGTTTTCTTGTTTCTTATTTTTCATGTCATTTATACCTGACTATATGGTATATGTTTTTTTCTCAGAGGCCGTACGGTGACCTGTAATTGCTTAAATCCTCGTCATGTGGAGAGTTAAAACATTGACAATCATACAACATCTTCTTATTGTAAGAGTGAAAAGACTTTCACATCTATTTCATTGAAAGAATCCGTCCTAATATTAGACTTTCACAGATAACCTGAATGCGCCCCCTCTCCCCCCAAAAATAAAGGATCACAACATTTATTACAGTCTACTTTTATACCTTATGATATTTTGTCTGGCTATGACTTATTGTTATATGAAGAAATATTAAATGAATAAGTTTTTATTGTGGTACAAGTGTTTATATTTGATACGTGTGACCAGTACAATATAGATAGAAGTATAAACTTTTTTATGCATTTGTCTTAATATAGTATAGTAGTATGGTTATAGTCGTATAAAAACAGTTTCTTGTAAATTAAATGCTATCGAAATTATTGAACCAAAGCATGCATATATACTAAACTAGGTCCTGTGTACACTTTTTCTACATTTTTTTTTTATTACGAGTCTATAACATTTTATCGACAAATTATATTTCGTTCAGTGATTGCTGACCGCAAGCGTATTAACTTTTGAATTTGCTGCCAAGTTTACCGGATCGTGACATTAATGAATATAACACAGACCACGTGGAACTCGTGACAAATAAGTGAATTGAAAGAGCCAAGATCCTTTTTTTTAAACGATTTGTAGTAATTAACTTGTTCTTTAAGAATAAGTTTTTAATAATTAACTTCCAGTGCACGTTTGTTTACATTCTTTCATCACGTTTTTCTCCCTGCACTTGCGCTGTACGGTGGCCGAAGTTCTAACGAGAGGTCTCGTAGTTAGGGTCACTGCTTACTAGAAAATATCACCGAATTAGTGTACGGAAAGACAATAATTCAACAGCAGTACATTTATGAAGATCTGTATAATATAAAGGATGTTCTTTTACAAGAAAGTTCGCGTACATCTAGCCATTCAAATATATAAAACACATTCAACTTTTTTTAAAATTTGAAGTTTCATATGACCTTAACCAGGTGGAAGATGGTGATAGAGAGCGTATTAAATTTTAGGAAGAAAAAAGTTTTGTTGTGTAGGACGAATTATAAGATATCAATCTTTATTTTGACAGTGTTGGACGAAATTCTAATATATTAAAGCATGGATGTAAAGTTAGAGGCCGGTTCGTTATTCGTTATTCGATATTCAAATTTCTTAGCTGAAAATAAAAAAAAATAAATATTCGTTAACATTAAAAGCATGATAGTTATAATTAAAAGGCGTAAAAAGATATGTAGGAAATCGTTTTAAGACCCCTTCAAATTTAAACATTTATGTAAATCGCACATTTGTGTTATAAAATATAGAATTTATCAATAAAATGCACTCAAAGATGTTCTTTTATTAATTATATTTCTAGAAACAAAAACAAACGATCGCTCTAGAAACATTTAAAAAAAATATAGATAGAATTAATTATAACAAGCCAAAAAAAAAAGATATTGCCACTTTTCAGCTAAAAATCGTCGAAAATTCAGGTAAAAGGGCACAGGGCGATGGCATGACATCCCTGATTTCTCAATCTTCATAATATTATGCAGATAGTTAGTTAAGATAAAGATACAAACGACATCAAAAGGAATTTGGGAAAACTTCTTGTCTTCTATTTTTACGGAGAGCTCAAAGTGCCAGTTTGATATTCAAAATATATAGTGAAAACCTACCAGAGACCGCTTAAATAACGGTGAGATCCTCCTGGTCTTTCAATATCCATAAAATTCAATGATCTTTTAGACTATGTATATATACAGATCGTATTAGAAGGATTTCTCAGAATAATGTCATCTTCGATACCTACGGAGGGCTTAAATTGTCACTTTTCAGCTAAAAATCGTCGAAAATTCAGGTAAAAGGGCAAAGGCCGATGACTAGACCTCTCTGATCTCTCAATCTTTATAATATTATACAGATAGTTAGTTAATATACAGATACAAATGGCATCAACAGTAATTCAGTTAAA